GCAGATTCGCAAGACGGTCTGTGGGGGTGGAGGCCGTCGGCGCAGAAGGTAACGGGAGGCTTGGCCCCGAGAGCGAGCCGGAGAGCACCAGACGCATCAGTACTGGGTCAGACTTGAGTAACTTAAAGCTCACAGTCAAAATTATGTCAGTCTGTCTTGGTGTCAAGCACCAATCTGGGGCCCAAATCAGATTTCTGTTACTGTCACACAGTTGCGGGTTTGTTGATGTGGGGCGCCCTGTATGACGAGATGTCGGTTCTGACTTTTACAATTGCTGCTGGCCCTCGCCAGTGCAGTCACTCTCGAGTCCCAGTCCCGCGGGACTCGTGACCACATTTTACTCTCTCAGATTCGAGACCCCCAATCTGGAGGGTCAGGTCCCCGTATTTATATCCCCCAGGAACCGTGTGGCCCGGTTATACCCCCAGGCGCCGCGTGCCCTTTTCGTTGCCTCCTACGACTCGCAGAAAGGAGGGGGAGATAAAATTCATCTAAATATTATATTCATAAAGATTCAGTCCGTACCTCACGGGAAAAACTGCTGCTCCATAGCAACGTCCAGCCGGTTGATGTTGTTTACTGTGTGGGCGAAATGTGCAGTTGTTTTAATGTTCAAGCAAGTGGTTGAAGGGGTAAAATGCAGCCCGTATCTCACACTGTGCTAACGTCGGTACAATTAGTGTCTAATGAATTGTGTGTAAGCAGACGGTCGTGGACTGACTTCAGTTATTTGAGACCTGACGTTCTCAGGGTGGTCATTACGAAGATGGACGCCTCGTGTTCTTCCTAGTGTCAATTTTTTTGCGGGTAATTATACGAAGAAGAAGAAGAATCTTTTTACCAGCAAATTGGACTTAAATTTGAGGAAGAAAGTAGTGAAATGCTACATTTGGAGCATAGCTCTGTATGGAGCTGAAACATGGACACTTAGGGCAGTAGATCAGAAACATCTGGAAAGTTTCGAAATGTGGTGTTGGAGAAGGATGGAGAAGATCAGTTGGACCGATTATGTGAGAAATGAAGAAGTGTTAATTAGAGTCAGTGAGCAGAGGAATATCCTACACGAAATAAGACAACGGAAGGCTAATTGGATTGGTCATGTTTTACGCAGAAACTGCCTTCTAAAAGAAGTTATTGAAGGAAAGATAGAGGGGCGGATAGAAGTGACAAGAAGACGTAAGAAGATGCTGGATGACCTTACGGACAGAAGAGGATACTGTCATTTGAAGGAGAAAGCTCTAGATCGCATTAAGTGGAGGAATTGTTTTGGAAGAGACTGTGGACCTGTCGTCTGACAGATTACTGATGATGATGATGATGAATTATGCGACTCAGCAGTAGCCAGGCTGTATAGAGAAAGGTGATGATGGACTGAAGATAATTTGGTAGGAAGCGGCCATGACGTCATTGAGGCACTGCTCCGGAATTCGGGTGGCGGGTGAGTAAAACTACGACAATTTTCCATCAGGACAGCTGGTATCCTGGCCGACATTCGAACCGAGCACCTCCCGAATTCAAGTCCAGAGCGTTACGCCATGCCATCCTGCTTAGCGCTACGTCGCAAATGACAGAAAGCGTCTTACTCAAAGATACGAACCCCGCCTTTTGAGTGGAGAGACAGAGGAAAACCACGAGAAGCCTCAGTCAGGATAGTCCGGTATCCGGACCGAAATATGAGCCCGGGACCTCCAGAATTCAAGGCAGGAGTCCAAGCGTTGCGTAACAACAAACAGCAAGTGTCCAATACCCTGAACTGCAAACGGACAGGAAATCCTAGACGATTTAACCGCGTCACACGAGCAGCGCGGCGGGCACACGTTCTAATTGCGTCCGGAAATGGACGCTTTGCGGCCTTGGAAGACGATTTAAACTGAGAAAGTTTGGGATGTGGCCCACGCTGCCCTCCAGCCTCTGCGATTCCGGAGATGAGGTATGTGGTTGTGACGTCAATGAGATGCTGATAAACACGCCAGCCCACCGTTTGGTCTCCAGTTTATTCGTGGCGGCACACACAAAGTGGATCCATTGGTTGTTACAACCTTATTGATGTGGAGCAATGGAAGGCATGGCTACAGTACTGATTGTTGTCAGGAGTCTTGTAGAGTTATATAGCAGGACATGGCGATTTACGCCGTGTAGTTTGGTAGAGGCCCACTGACGTTTCGGATGAACCCCCTGTCATTTTTGGCGCTGAAGAGTAAACTAAAGAAGCAAGCCGATCTATGCTTCATCTGAAACGTCTATAAACCCCTACCAGACTAAATGGCGTCACATCCAGATGGTGGTACTTTTCACAGTCATTGCCATTAGGAACCTTCAATCCAGCAATAGAGGAAATGTAGGGGCGTTGGTACATATGGAACAGAAAATGTGCGTTCCATCTCGCTTTGCAGAACTCTTGCTCGGAACATTTCTCTCCCCAATAGAACATGTATTGAGTTACGCTCGAGGTGGCTGTAGAAACGCGCTCAGGTCTTCATGTGAAGTGCCCCTTATTGTCCGATGTCAACCCAAAGTGGGATGTGTCGACAGATTTTTAATAAAATACTCCACTGTCAGATTTCTTCAATATCAATTCACAGGTTCTGCAGTTGTTGGATACTCACAGACGGGTATACATGGTGAAGCAAATAGGCGAATTTTTCGTATTTTCATTGCGAACGCTCTAAAAAAATTGAACAGTGCTAGAATATCAACGTTGACTGTACACATTTTCCAAATCCATTCTTCTGCAGTGTCCCTGTAAATAATGTTCAGTTCCTACCTCACAGGAAACATACTGTGCCTCTATTAGACCAGCCGGTTAATGCTGTTTAGGGAAAGAGTCGCTGTTTACTGTGAGAGCCATACAGAACACGCAGATACACTCTGTGGGCAGAATGCAGAGTTTTAGTATGTTCAGTCCGTACCTCACAGGAAACATACTGTGCCTCTATTAGACCAGCCGGTTAATGCTGTTTAGGGAAAGAGTCGCTGTTTACTGTGAGAGCCATACAGAACACGCAGATACACTCTGTGGGCAGAATGCAGAGTTTTAGTATGTTCAGTCCGTACCTCACAGGAAACATTACGTCTCCACTACAGAGCCCAACCGGTTAATGCTGTTTGGGGGAACAGCTGCTGTTTACTGTGAGAGCCATACAGAACACACAGATACACTCTGTGGGCAGAATGCAGAGTTTCTGTATGTTAAATCAGGTGGTACATATAGTTACCATTCAGCTTTAGAGTATTATTCAGTGGACAACCTGATAGTATGAGAGAGCTGGATGTGAGGCTGCACTTGATGTAGGAGGAGGTTACATGTTTGCATTTCCAGCACTGCTGCCTGTGAGAACACCCCCACACCCACCCCCACCCACACTGACATTGCCACATGTCCCCCACCTGGGGGAAGGGGGCAGATACACACGATGAGGTTTCCTACTGACAGTTATGAACTTTCTCGACCTGAAGTACCAGAAAGTAACTTGGTTAGGAACGTACACGTATGTGCAAATCCTAACATCCATTGAGTGGCTGTATACAACTGTATGTTCCCTGCTAAAATACAGTGGTGTCTGTAACATTACCAAATTCTGCACTCTGTATGTTTTGGATTGATGACCGTATTTGTCACACACCATACAACTTGTTACTACACTTCACAAACCACTATATGACCCTATGTCCTCTCTTCTCAGTCATCTTCAACTGCCGTCTCAAGGGACTCCCTAAACTGGCCCGACATCCTCGTTATATAGCCTCAGGATGGACCAACAAAAAGCGCCATTTCCTAACAATTCCTCCGGTGTTACAGAGCTATGTTTACCTTGCCATTGCATAGAAACGACAGTTCTTTTCTGACAGTAAGCAGCAATTGTTTTCCTAAATGTCATAAACTGGTTTGACTTTGTAATGGAGGTACAGTGTGTTTTCTGTGTGCTAAGAATTTAATTTTTAAATATTATTGAGATGAACTTCTTGCTTCTAACGGTTAAAAGTGACTTAAATGTAAATGGATGGAAAATGTGCTGTCCTTGGTTCAGGTACAGGAGAGATGGCAGCACTTATTGGCTTTGCAAACAGCACAAATTTACAAGTAGATCAGAATGCCTCTGCCACACAGTCTTACACAACTGCAAGGACACAGAATTATGCAATCTTCACAAGCAGCAGTTAGGTTATCTCAGGTTGCTAGAAAATAACATGATCCAACCTTTGCAGGCTGACATGCAATGCATGATAGTCTGATCAAATATGAGAACAATGATGGTACCAAGACAACTTGAGGTTAACTCACTCACTTACTTACTGCATGGAGCTGAGACACTAAAAGCTGCACAGATACTCAATCAGATTTTTCCAGCATTTTGTGGAACACCAAGCCTCAGTACCAAGTTCACAAGAGCTCACTACTGGTCCCTGTTTTGAAACAGATGTTTCAAGAGCATGCCTATCCCGTTGCTTTAATGTCCATTTTAGTATTATCCCCCATGTATGCCCAGGTCTCCCTGTAACAGTACAAACAAGTTAGTTTTAGATCCAAACGTCATACCAAAGGAAAATGTCTTACATAATAGCCAACGATTTTTATTTCTTCAAGTTTTTCCCTCTGTGTTATTTTTAGAATTCTTTCACTATTGCAGACTTTACAGCATTGAATGATGGATGGATGGATGGATGATGAATTTCATGAAGGATTAAGAAGGAATTGGTCATAATCTAAATGAGGTACTATCTTGGCGTTTGCCTGGAGGAACTGATGAAAATCATGAAAAACCTTAGTCAGGATAGCCTGCATCCCAGCCAAAATTTAAACCGAGTCTCTCCCAAATGCTGCCGCTAGACCAACGTGTTCAGCATTTCTGATCAGACCACAAAGATATACCAGCTTATAAGTGCTTCCAAGCATTTATGATCGGAATTTCTCCCATGGTACTCACAGGAGACTCCTGTGTTTACATTGTGTCATCCTGGGGCACTTAAACTGAACAGATGCGGTACTGATATTGTTTCAGATGCAGCCCAGCGTGTGGTTGCCAAGAACCCTGTGGTGGAGATGGACGGTGACGAGATGACGCGTATCATATGGGCCAGGATCAAGGAGAGGCTCATCTTCCCTTATGTTAAGGTACAGGTTGGCGCCATAGCAGGTGGATGGGGGCTGAATTAATGAAAGTGGGTGAAGAAGTTGTGCGGCATCCTACCTGGTCCCACGCAGTTAATAAGCTCTAAAAGTCACCTGCTTTACCATTCCGAAACTCCACATTTTGCCCATGAGGTGTATTCATGTGTTCCATATGGTTCTCACAATAAACAATGATTATTTCCCCAGACAACATTAAATGGGTGATCTTTGTAATGGAGATGTAATGTGTTTCCTGTGAGGTATGAACCAAATCTTTATGTTTTATTCAGAAGAGCTTCAGGGCATTAACATAGCTGATGTGACTATCCAAACAGTACAGGGAGATGTCTGTGAAGTTCTGTGTGTGTTGTATCATCAGTCTGTCAGGTCCGGTTGCTTTGCTTTCATATCCTTGCAACCTGTACTGCTATTTCAGACTAAGAGACCATATGTCAGAACCATCCAAAAACATGGGCAGAGTATAACTGTATTTCGTTTGCTGTACCCTAGATTGAAAGTCTATACTATGACTTGGGTCTGCCCTACCGCGATGCCACCGAAGACCAAGTGACCATAGATGCAGCATATGCCATCCTGAAGCACAACGTGGGCATCAAGTGTGCCACCATTACACCTGATGAAGCTCGGGTTGAAGGTAAATATTTGATGTTTACCACAGGAAGTAATAAGGGACATGTCTTCACCCCAAGTGTACTCATTGCATTCCTAAACGGAGCTCGCTTTTCTGCTGAGAATGCAAAGTGTTGAAGATATTTGGACATCAGAAATAGCAGATGTCCTAGCAGTGAGTAGACCTATGTAATGAGGAGTTTCATAATTCATAATATTGTTAGGGTAATCATATTGAGGAATATGAGATGGGTAGGGCATATAGCACACATGAGAGAAGTAATAAATACAAAATTATAGTGGAAAACCATGCTGGAAGGAGTTGCTTGGCAGACATAGGCATAGACGGGAGGATAATATTCGTATGTGTATTAGTGACTAAAGACAGGGTTCAGATTGGTAATTGGATTTGTTAACCACCTACAGGTTGTGACTACAAATAATTAATATATTATTGCTGATTTATACAATTTACAATCGCTCCACACTCATCTTCTCAGTCTATTCCCACTGGTCCCCACTATCCACTTCCTGGCAATGGATTTATGACACAGAACATGTGAAAGTGTCACTAAATCACACACTCCCAAGATCTCTGTACTACTGCATGTGGAAGCGTAGTTGGTTGAGGCACTGTGCTGCAAGTGGGAAGGTCGCAGGTTCGAGTCCTGATGAGGTGGATCTTTTCAATTTACCTAATCCTTCCAGCACACTATGTCCCTGGGGTCAAGTCAGCCTCTAACAGAAATGAGTACCAGGAATATTCTTGGGGGTAAAGAGCAACCGGCACGTAAGGCTGACAACCTTACTGCCATCTGTGATGGGAGACTCAACCTCTCACAACCCTATGGGCCTTCACAGCCTGTTACAGGGATAACTTTCCCTTTTTTTATACTGAACACATAAAGTCTGCAAATCACACGTTAAGTCTTCACAGGCTGACTTCTTGTACTCTTCTGTACTCCTCAAGCATACTGCTTGCTTGCTGTACTCCTTCAGCTTACCGTTATACTCGGCCACTCACTGCTCACTTATATAGGCAGACCTACAGAAAACACACCACATGATCACTATCCAGCCAGTCCATTGGCACTCTGGCTGGAACTAAAGAAAACACTTGTCACATGATTTCTAAGCACTGCACAGACACAAAGAAAACACTGCTGCTGTATTGTTTGGCGTGTGTGTGTGTGTGTGTTTTGCAGGCATTGTTTGACATTGGATACATGTGTCTCATATAATGGGCCAGTGGTGGGCTCTTATGCACACAAATGAATTTATGGGTGGCATAAACAGTGAGGAATTTCTTAATTAGCAGAGTGAGTGTCAGCTTCTTAAGGGCCCTGCCTATATGGATTTGTTTGTTTGTTGTAAAGCTGTCTTAGTTTGAGGTTACTGGTTTCATGGTCACAGCTCACCCACTGAACACCAGGAGACACCAAGCAATAGAAAATCTGGCTGAGTAATTTTGGTGCAGTTATAGTGAATATTCGTATAATAATATTGTATTGTAGCATCCTGTTGAACTCTTCTCAAGAACAGGAACTCAGCAGGAAGAAGCATGACGTTCTCACTACAACACACGTGCACATCCCAAGGACCTACACATGTAAGAGCAGCTACAACAGAAGGCAGCAGTTTCCCTGTTAGATATAGTCTAACACCTGATGATGGCCATATTCGCCAAAACATGTTGTGACCCCTTTAAATTTTAAATTTTAAACTTTTTTAAGTTAATAAATAGTTGCACAGAAGACTGTAAAATAAGATTTCTAATAAAAAAGAATGTATTTATACTTACCTGCAGAAGATGTGGTTTCAAATCTTGGCTGGGATCCTGGCAATCCTGAAGGACAACTTTTGTGGTTCTCCTCAGTGACCCAGGGCAGGTACTTGAATAGGACCTCTAAATACAACATCCATTTCATATCCTGACTTAATCACCATTCATAATCGCTTCCCCGTGTCATTCTCCTATTATAAATAATCTCTGTAACTGAATCAGCTTTGCTGAAAAAACTGAGAATCATTAAGACAGCAGTCTTCTGTGGTATGACACCATGTGGTCTGGTAGACAGGTACCCATGTTTCGGGTGAATGTGCTACCTCTGTCTTCAAGATAAAAAGGCCTTTTTGCCCTGGAAATATGGATTTCTGCAACAAATAAAATTATGATATGATAAATTAGAGGCAGGAGAATCCTCTAATTGTAGTATCTATATACTAGGTTACGTGGCGTCACACCCCAGAAGACTGTAATTTAAATATTCACTACTTTGTAAGCCTCAGATAGCAACCCTCTAACAAGTCAGTGAACTAATCAGGCAGTGGATGGCTGTCCATTCAGCACATATAAGGCTTTCAGATAGCTAAAATGTTGCTGGTTTATTTGAGACCATCATGTTGTCAAAGCCATTGGTTACTTCAGCATGTCACATGAGTTCAGACTAGATATTTCTGTGATGCATCTGCAATTCTTTCTTATCTGGTAATAGGGGATTTTAAACACCCTGCTGTTGTGTGTACTTGCAGCCCTGGCTGCTTACAGGGGAGAGCAAATAGAAAATGAAAACCGAATAAAGAAGGAAACATCATATATTAACACCAAAAATTAAAAAAAATAATTAAATATATTTTATCCTGAATACTCCAGGGAAATCCTTAGAAAAAATGTTGACAGCTTACATGTAAGTTTGCAAGCAAATTTTCTGGCTTCCTCTCTACCCCCACCCTGGAGGAAGTCCTGACAGCAGCCATGTCTGTAGCTTGATATCAACTCAGGGTTAACAGCATCAGTATTGGAGAGCTGCTCACGTTGACCCCCCATCACTGCTACAGTAGCGCAACACACAGTGACTAGAGGAACAACTGCACTTTTTGCAGAGTTCAAACTAAAGAAGATGTGGCTCAGCCCCAATGGGACTATCCGAAACATCCTGGGTGGCACCGTGTTCAGGGAGCCAATCATCTGCAAGACAATCCCTAGGCTGGTGCCTGGTTGGTCCAAAGCTATCATCATTGGACGTCACGCATTCGGAGATCAGTACAAAGCAACTGACATCGTGGTACCTGGTCCGGGGAAGGTGAGTGGAACAAGTAACAGATACTGGTCACTGACTTCAGTCACAGTGATCATTGTCTTGCATCACAAAGTTAGCTTGTAAACATGTGAGGAAGACAAATGGCTTCGCTGTAACTGTATGAAATTTTAATATCATTTACAATTATCTGAGGGTGCAATAGTATGGATTTCATTGATCTGGCTCAGGATAGGGACCGGTGGAGGGCTCCTGTGAACACGGTAATGAACTTCCAGGTTCCAAAAATGTTGGGAAGTTCTTGAATAGCTGCACAACTGGCAGCTTCTTAAGAAGGGCTCAGCTCCAAGAACTTAGTTAGTTACAATTTGCTGTTTCATAGACAAATACACTACACAATGTCAGACATCCTATCTCTATAGAGCTGAGGTTCTCACAGAGGCGGTAGTGAAGAGTATTGTCTTCTGGCATGTTACGCTCTGTAGCATGGTAGACATTTACTGATGTACTTCTATACTGTCTGTAAACTACCAGACTACATTGGTAAACAATGCAGAAGACTTATATTTCATTGTACATTCACTCATCAAATTGTATTTCAAACAGATATTGTAGTTCTTAAAGAGATCTCCATTCTATGTAAGTGATTAAGTTTAATCTGAATCTCAAGGTCAAGTGGTTAACTTTCCTGTATCATACGCAAGGTCCCATGTTCAAATCTTGGCTCAAAAACTGTCTATCCTGACTGAGAAATGTTTAGTTTTCCTCAGTCTTCCCACACCAATGCCAGTACCTCAACTGACACTGTGACATACACATTCTGTCAGATTATTTACTAATTGCTCTACCAACCTAGTGACAGCAGTAAACAAACTGTACATGAAGTAAGCCATTAAAACATAATTAAGGGAATTTTCCAACAAAAGCTGCACAAACATGCTGAATTATCTGTCTGCAGGTGGAGCTGGTGTTTACACCCCAGGGTGGTGGACAGAAGCAGAGGATGGAGGTGTATGACTTCAAGGGTCCCGGTGTCTCTATAGGAATGTTCAACACAGATGAATCTATCAAGGCATTCGCCCACTCCAGCCTGCAGGTAAAGCAGAGGGGTTATGTAAATTGATAAAAACTTAGTGCAAGCATTAAGTATATATACCATCTCCTGCAGCATTATGATATAATGGATTTTGCTCACACAATATATGTATATTTGTGTGTTCCATATGATTCTCAGAAATATATAGATTATTTCACTGATCTGCATTAACAAATTTATGTTTATAGTGGAGACACGTTGGGTATTCTCTGAGGTAGGAATGGAATTTTTAAATATTTAGTTGAGCTTCAGTCTTCAGAGAATGAAATGGTAACATAAGTGACTACAGAATGTGGATTGAACAGTGAGTGGGATGGCACAAGACAGGCTGCCTCAAGGTCTGCACCATTAGACAAAAGAAATATTTCTGTGCTGAAGAGAGGACAGTCCGGTGCTTAAATGTAGCTATAATGGACAAATTACAGCTTAATCATTTGAAGCATGAAGTTCAGCTAAATGAATAATACTTAAAACATACACTTCCCAGCTCACAGTAAAAACACAGCATCCCCAGGACAAGACCCATCCAGTTGACACTGCTTAGGGAAATAATCATAGTTTACTCTGAGGCTCATATGAAAGGCATAAATACACTATGCACGAAAATTCTTTGCTATAAACAGCTCACCATTGCATTCTGAGAGTAATGCATCTCTGTTGTGTTCCAGCTGGCACTACAGAAGAAATGGCCACTGTACCTGTCCACAAAAAACACTGTTCTGAAAAAGTATGATGGTCGCTTCAAGGACATCTTCCAGGAGATCTATGAAAGGTAACTTTATGGTGCCTTCAGTACAGATTGTTCAACTTGAGATTTGGTTTCCCCACAGCACTCAAGGTTCATGTTGTGAGCCTCTGGGTTTTAACACCATATGTATGAGCTGGTGGGTGGGTACCAGTGTTTCAGAGGAACATACTGCTTCCATCTTCAAGGTTGAGGATGGAGGCAGCAGGTTACCCAAGACTACATGGTGTTATGTAAAAACTAATAAGGTACCGCTATCCCTGTAACAGACTGTGGAGGCCCATAAGGTGAGGCTGTCAGCCTTACCTGCCAGCCGTCCTTTACCCCCGGGAAGATTCCTTATACTCATTTCCATTAGAGGCTGAGTCGACCCTAGGGCCATAGTGTTGGTGGAAGGATTAGGTCGATTGAAAAGTCCAATGACCTCAACAGGAACTGAACCCGCTACCTTCTGGCTTGTAGCATAGTACCTCATCTAATTATGCTACTGCATGCCTCCAGTGTTATAACATATAAGACTCCAATATGAACATTCTGTCAAATTTCATCACATAATTAATGGAACCTGGTTTTAGCTGTGAATTTTCATTTTCTTATATGTGGTAGATGATGGCAATGAAAAATACTGTTACTAAAATCTTAAATCAACAACACAGGTATAAAATTTGACCGTGAGTACTGTTACCTTCTCAAAGGCAACTCTTATGCATGGGATTAGTTAGTTAGTCTGTCAGTGAGAGGAAATCCACCCACTGGTTACCAGTGGCAATAAGAGTAGATGCCTGTTAACTGCATCTAGCTACTGGGAGTTGCTGAATCAAGCGACTGGCCAACTTGGCAAAGAAATTGTGCATTTTCTGATCTTCACTTAGTGATTCAAGGAGCAAGTAGACTACACTGAGATGTGCAGAACATTGCAGTTCAGTGAGCAACACTTCTGCGACATATCAGGGAGACTTCTGGTTCACATCATCTCGTCCTGGAGACTAGCTATCCTGGCAGTTTCTTTTGTGGTTTTTCTCAGACCTTCCATTCAAATGGCAGGATAATGCCTCAAATTACACCATGACCACTTCCTTCCACAACCTAGCCAAATTAATTACTCACTGAGAAGCCTCTCATTTGATGCTGTATAAGCCGATATATCGAAAGTGTCATTAATTGACTAAAGGAGTCACTCTGCTCCATGCTATGCATAATTTCTGCAGCAGAATTCCACCTGAAATTGGTATTGGTCATTTGTCTGCAGAGACTACAGGAAGCAGTTTGAGGATGCCAAAATCTGGTACGAGCATAGACTTATTGATGACATGGTAGCACAGGCACTCAAGTCAAGTGGCGGTTTCGTGTGGGCTTGCAAGAACTATGACGGCGATGTGCAGTCTGACATCGTCGCACAAGGATATGGTGTGTATTGTACACATGATGATGATATGCCTCAGAATATTGTTCTCCAGACAGCATCACCATTTTTTGACCTGTCCTGTTCCATTTCCTTCTACACAGTTGCTGTGTGAATCAGGACATGCCTGAATATGTATTCTAGGTGACACTGAGTTTTAAGATTTTCTAGTTAAGTATTTCTGTAGTATATTTTTATTTTGTCCTTCTAGGATCACTTGGGCTCATGACATCAGTTCTGATGTGTCCAGATGGGAAAACAATTGAGTCAGAAGCTGCCCATGGTACAGTGACCAGACATTACAGGTAAGCATGTCACATTGCAGTGTTGTTGTGTCACACCCTTCTCACTGGACTGTCAGAGCCACTTGCATGCATAACATTTTTGGGTACTGAGACCCTGTTCAATGAGTGGCTTCAGTGGTTAGTTGGTTGACTGTGGACATAAAATACACACTTTCTGAACCTTAGAAAAACATCTGGTACATATATGTTTACAAGGGTTACAGTAATGTCCACAGTATTACTCTCAGAATTCAGATGGTAGTTAAAGTAGCCATTGTATTTTAAAGTGTTCAACCAATAGCAGCCAACACAGCTGAAGTGTGCACATAACTGAACACTGTACACACTAACCCCTGTGTTTACAGGCAACACCAGAAGGGACTTCCCACATCTACCAATCCCATTGCTTCAATCTTTGCATGGACACGGGGACTGTCACACAGGGCGAAGCTCGACGGTACACCAGAGCTCGACAGGTAAATGCAACATATGTTTGTAACAGGTGTACACTTTGTTAGAGTATCACACTACATGTGATCCCTCTGTCAAATATTAAACATGAAGGTGATAACAAATGTGTACAAACCTGTAGAGATGAAACTGCAGGCAAGAGACCTGGCTGTACAGTTGGGGAGATAATATTAAGATGGATCTTAAAGAAATGAGACTTGTGGTGTAGAATATATTCATCTGGCTCAGGACAGGATTCAACAGCAAGCTCTCGTGAACACAGTAAAGAACCGTTTTCCCTGTGCTTGACTAATTAAGCGCTACGCCATGAATGCGTATGGGGGAGTGGATATATAGATCCACATTTTCTTGACCTTGGCACTAGCTGGAGGTGAGTGGTCATCTTCATGCCCCAACCACTTTACCTCTGGGGAAAGAGCCCCCATTACCCATTGGATAGGAGGTTGGGTGGACTCTAGAGCCAGTGTGGATGATTTGGAGAAGAGAAAATTCTTGACCTTACCAGGACTCAGAATTCCAACCCCTTGGTCGTCCAGCCTGTAGCTAGTCCCCATACCAACTATGCTATCCCAGCTCCTAAAGAACCTGTGAGTTACATAAATGGTTAGAACAGCCCGTACCCAGTTCTTTTGATAGAGTAATTTGACGTAACTTATTTTGTATGTCATCAATTTGATTGCAATGCATTCGGTGTAACAGTGCACAGGTTTCCTGAATCCATCAGAATGATATACGCATATTTAAGGCTTTTCACTGCTTCTTAGATCCCCTCTCTCAGAGGCTGATGCTCATTTCAGAAGCAAATGCTGATTCTTTGGTCCACTCGGTTATCCTTCCCAATCTGCATCCTAATTTCGGAACACAAAATTACGAAAAACTCTCGTTCACTGTCCTTGGAATCTTTTGGTTCACATAAAAACAGCACACATTAAGTAGGACCTATCGAAGGAATGTCCAGGCATCTGGATCATATCTGCTCATTTTACAACCCACTGAATATATGAGGGGCAGTCAGATGAAAACGGGTCAGAAGCCAAAACATATTAAGAGCATTTTTTACCTCAAAACTAATCTCCAAAACTGTTAATACATTTTCCCACTGGGAGATAAGATGGTCAATCCCATCCTTGGAAAAGCTTGTGGGCTGTCCACAGAACCACATCTTTACCCAGCCACACACATCTTCATCTGATGCAAACCGATGTCCATGAATGTCTCTCTTTAGGTCTCCAAAAATGTGAAAATCACATGGGGAGAGATCTGGGCTGTAGGGGGGGATGTTGAAGCACTTCCCAACCAAATCTCTGTAGCGCATTCCTCGCAGAGTTGGCAGTGTGGCGGCGCGCATTATCATGAAGAAGGATACTGCCGTTCGGTAGCATTCCCGGGCGTTTTGACTTTATGGCATGTCTCAGTTTCTGCAAAGTGTCTTCATAGCGCTGTGCACTGACTGTGGCCCCATGCTCGAGAAATTCAACAAGCAGAGGGCCCTTGCAGTCGAAGAAGAACATTATCACTTTACCGGAACTTGTGTGTATGGCTTTGGATTCCTTCAGAGGGGGACAATTTACGTGTTTCCACTGTTGGCTCTGCCATTTGCTCTTGGGTTCAAAATGGTGGCACCAAGTTTCGTCCCCAGTGGCAATACGGGGCAGAAAAACATACTCTTCCTCACGGTATCGTTGCAAGTGACCCAGTGATGCAGCCATTCTCTGAGTCTTCTGTTCCTCCGTGAGTTGATGTGGAACCCACTGCATGCAGATTCTGCAGTACAGCAGGTGTTTTGTCACAGTGGTGTGTATGGAACCGTGACTTATTCCCATCAAAAGACTAATTTCTTTCACAGTGATCCATCGGTTACATAAATATTCATATACAAAGTCAGTGAAAATAACTTGCAAATTGATGACAAACATTGACACACATAACCCACTGCAGGAAATGAACACCAGTTAGCAGCACACATGCCCTACATCTATATAAAAAACAAAGCCAACACATCAACAAAAACATGAGTAACATCACAACTGCAGAGAGAGAACAACAGAATATACATAAAATATTTATCTTATAAATATAACCCATTACATATTACAGATACATCAGACACGTGCATAACAACAGCATGGTAATCTAAAATAACCTAAAATATTTTAGAAGCATTTTATATCAAAATGAAAAGCAGAAAAGTGTAACAACAGAGCAGGAGGTTTCTTCAATCCTATGTCTTATAGAGCTTATGATGGCCAGCGAGGTTGAAACATGTAGCGTTGTATCACGAGAGACGAACACGTTGAAGTGTGAATATCAGTGTATGGACACAGTTGCACAAAGACAGCAAGGGAGAGCATGAGGTTAGAATACGCAGTGTAACAGGTTGCTGCAGTTCACTGTACCTCCATCTGTCATCAGCATGGGAGATTGCTGGAAGTATGTTACATTAGAGGTGAAATGAAGTGCATCCAAGGCCAAGCTCTGTCCCAGTCTGACTGTCCATTATTAATATTTTGATGGCTTCACTGCAGCACCCGTGCGATTTGCCTTACGCTGTCAATAACTTCAGACACATGTCTGGCATGTGACAGGGATACTCAGCTGTGGGTGTGCTGGACCCAGTTTGTGTCCCTTCATCCAGGCTCGTACCTATAGATTCAGACGGAACAGATGAAAATAGTTAGCCTGGAAGGAAGCTCTTTTTGTCATTTTGGAACACGGGTTAATAGAAGTTTTGGCAGTTGAACGTGCAGACCGGCAGAAGAATTTCTAGCAGCACACCCTTAGCCCACGCCTCACGTTGACACCAACAGCAAAGTAACTGACAAGATTATGTTCCTCTGGGAAGCGGTATTACCTAGCCTGTCTTCAAACAAGGTTGCACATAGGGTGTTCTCTAAAATGTTGGTACCTTTCTACTGGACTACTGACGTCACATCTCAGATGAGCATCATCTTGATAACCTCAGCACTGTGAGGTTTCTGTTCACATTGCAACTTCCTTGTTACACCCTGTACATTGCTCAGGGCCTGCTGCATATGGTTCAGGTGTATCTGTTGACACATTTCAGCATGATTCTGGGTTATGACATCTGTAGATTTGGGGAGAGCAGGTACATCCAAAACATTGGTACCTGTCCACCAGAGTACACAGCATAACAACGTCCCAGAAAACTATCATAATAAACCGTATCATCTAGCATGCGGTTACCAACATTTGAAGCAACATACTGCCTCCATCTTCAGGTTGGCAGTGAATATGGAGGCAGTATATCCATCTGAAACATTGGTACCCACATACACATTGCATACTACTGTAACGTAAAAGACCACAATATTAAATCTTCATTGCTGTCAAACCCTAAAATATCTTAAATCTTTGGTTGTATTCATGTGAAATGTTATGATTGCAATGAAAATAAATTGCAGAACCCTGTTTACCAAATGCAGTGCACATCACCTCACCGCACATACTGTAGTGAAACCAGTTTGGTCAGTTTCAGTTTGCAGTTTCTCTCGTGTACAGGTTCGCACTAAACTTGGAAGAGGCTTGCATAGAATGTGTGGATGGAGGGAAGATGACCAAGGATCTTGCAGGATGTATACATGGACTTCCCAATGTTAAGGAGGGAATGTACCTCAACACAGACGACTTCCTGGAAGCAATTGCCGAGCAGCTCAACAGGAAGGTATCAAAGTGATCAAGAGGATGTTAGGCACAGAGGATCATTCCAAGCAAGAAGCAGCTGGAGTCACAGAACAACCTGCACATTCACATACTGAAACCAGTGTGAAGATAGAGATCAGAATGACTGTATACAGATGACATGTAACTTAATTGTAATTTATAAGTAATAGTTTTGTTGTGTTCCTTTGAGTTTCTAGAAGCTTACTGAATGAAAGCTGTCAGTTGAAAGCTCCTGATGTGTGACACTCCTAGAGAACTATCTCCATATGTTCATTTATCCTAGTTTGCAGTGTAAATCACTACAAGCAAAAGTAGCCATTCCTTGCGCGGGATATAGTCACTTTCCTTGTCAATGTCTCAGTGTGTAATATCAAAAACTTTTAAAGAAGTAATAACACTCAGACTGAGAAATTAAAGTTTGGTGATGTAATTAGGAAGAGAACACTGGGAATGAGGGTTCAGATCACACCCAAAGACATTACTGTAGTGCTTGTGCATCCCTGTGACAGCCATGCCTGCTGTAAATATTGGCAACAATATGGAATAAATTTCATAATAGTCTTGGGTGTTCTTCAGAGTTTTAGCTACTAAATGTTGTAGTACTGGCAAGGAAAACAACCATATCTGGGCAAAGGACAAGTACATCTTCTGGTGATGCATAAATCACTTGCACAGTTTCTTCTGGTTCCAGTTTACAGACCTGCAGTCCACATGATCCTGAAGAGTATTCAAAATTCCACATAGAAATGTTGGCAATTTGTCTTTTAACCCTTTCACTGTTGGTGAAAAGTCTTACCAGGCAGCTGAACTTAAATCAATACTCATCACAATCTCAGTGTCTAAACATGCAGTCAGTATTTCATATATTTGTTTTCACTGTTATATCTCGCATTTGTGGTTACAACAGTCTATGTCTTAGCTCTAAATATCTGTCCATTGTTTTAGAAATGAAATCAATATTACAGCATTTACATCTCACACCTCACTACTGATCTGCAAAATACACATACTATAGATAAAGATACAAAAATATGCTCCTCTGATATTTCCAACATGCATACAAACAAGCAAAAAATGTTACAATCATAATACGAAACGTAAACAATCAGAATGCAAAACAAAACAAAATTACAGAAATAGTAAACATAACACATACTCTATTATCACAAAATTACTTTCAACTTACTAACGGCTTCTACAGACAAGAGGGGTTAGCATTCTTCATACCAGTATTCCCCAGAACACAATGACATATACATATGTAACATCATTAGAAAACACAAGATAATACGATATTTCAGATATTTGGATGATATTCTAATAATATACACTGAAAAGCTTTCAGACATAAACCACACATTACAAGGATTCAACAGTATTCAACCAAACCTGTTCACCACAGAAAAAGAAACAAACAACAAAATAAAAATTTTTAGACATCACAATATGAAAAAAAGAAAACAGCATACTTTCAGCATATACCAAATACCAGCATTCACAAACAATAATACCCAGCACATCATGTTATCCATTACAGCACAAACTGTCCACTATAAATTTCATGATCAGAGGACTTAGTACTTACCCCATGAAGAGACAAGGCAAGAACAGAGAAACAACACAACAAAACATGTATTGCAACAAAAACAAAAATACACCAAACCGACATCACTCCAAAACAAACACCCATGAACAAAACAAATGGATAACGTTTATATGTATTGGACATGAAACTAAACAAATCATAAAAATATTCAAAGACCCTAACACAAAAATAACATTAAAAACCACAAATACCATCATACAAAATATTTACAACAAAAAACCACAGAAGAGCAAAAGGCATGACACTAGCGCAGTATATGAACTGAAATGTTTAGATTGCCCTTTACAACATATAGGTCAAACAAGATTATTTTTCCAAACCAGATACAACAAACATGCACATACAGTAACACATAAAAAAGACACATCCACCTATGAACAAAACATGTTCAACGCAGGTCACATGGAAAAATACAGAATACTATGGAGATGATACAAATAGCAAGAAGAAGCAAATACATCGACTCCAAAACAAACTCTTTGATTTTAGTCCACAAGCGAACTATACCGACTGAGCGACCGCCACTTGTCGGCGAAGTTTAGTGCCAACTTTTGCAGATAGAGGGTGTCACGTGGTCAGTGCATCAAATCCCCATGGCTGTTAATTTCGGTTTCCTAGACCGGAGCTGCTATTTCCTTGAAATAGCTCCTCAATTATCACGAGGCTGAGTGCACTCCGTTCCAGACCCACTACTTCTCAGAAAAAATGTGGTAGCGCCGGGAATCGAACCCAGACCTCTGGATACATGGACAGGTCAGACAAATTTCATATCTACTGCACATGACATGAAACAACTAATGAATGAAATAGTATTTGACCTTCAAAATCCAATGTTTGATAAGCTATACAAATATCATATTAACAAGTTAACACCATCCCATTGGATGGGACACTATAAAACACATAGACACCAGACTTGCTAACATCAGTTTCACAACCATCACATACAAGACACAACACTCCACCCAAATACAAGGTAAGAAACAGTTCTAATACCAGATCTCAGCATTTAACTCCAAGATCATGCAGTTATGTATTAAAGAAGCACCATATTCTCAGGAACACAAACATGTACATACAAGCCAACAGAACATACACTACATCAGTAGCAGGTAACAAAAAACATACTTGTCCCCACATATAAACAAAAACATGCACATATATTCTATAAAAATGTGTTTATGTTCCAGACCAGGAAGAACCCCAAAGAAATACATTGGTAGAGGTGACACATACACGTTAACTGGTCTAAGTGCATGGGGAAACCCACCTCCTTCAACAATGAATGAATGACACACACACACTCTACTACATCAAGACAAACCATAAGAAACCCTTTTACATATGTTTATTTTAATGGTGTAACATTTTAATGATTAATATTTAATCTTAGAGATGAATGCACTTTTTATATATAACATCATTACTGCTGAAACAGTATTGCAGTATGTAAACAGTGGCCAGTGTAGGAATACCAGCAGATGAATACAGGTGAATATAAAAAAAATCAAATACCTGATGATGGTTTAATGAGTTGAAACAGGCAAGAAACGGTGAGTGTACGTGTGTCCGTGTTATCTATTGTGGTGATGGAATAAAATGAAAGAAATTTCACAAGCACAATATTATGCTACAGCAATTAGTTTCTTCCATAGCATGTGATGTGCTTTCCTGCACAGCATAATTTTTCTACCATAACAGTGAAAGGGTTATGAAAGTCAAACATAAGAATTATTTTATAGTCAGTATTAATTTTTGTGTAAGAAATGAGGTCCTGGGATCATGTCAGAGTGACTGTGGCCTGTATGATACAGCATTACATTGCATTAATTTAGTTTGTTTCCTATGACCTTTGCTATTCAGTAATTTCAGGGCAAGACTTCAGCTAAATGCCTGTTACAGATGGTGATGAAGAAACAGGAAACCTACACTACTTAAGTTCATTGTAAATTTTACATTCTTTTTGCTGTTCTGTTGCATTAACCCTTTAAAGCACAGTGTTAAATATATATACCATCTGCTTTAACATTAAAAGAAAACTGCATTTTTTTGACACAGCATATTTGTGTGTTGTATATGATTCTCACAATAAACAGCTATTATTTTCCAAATAACATTAACTGGTTGGTCTTGGTAGTGGATACTTAATGTGTTTCCTGTAAGGGACAAACTGAATCTTTAATAACAGTACTGAGATGGATTTCATGCTTGAAAAGGTTCCACATTGCGGATTTCTGAAACTGTCCATGTCAGATTCATGCCATGGTTGGTGGAAGCTTTGGGCATGCTATACTGCATGACAGCAGCTTCTGGAGCCTCAGACTGGATGCCCTTGCTAGTTGCATTGCTGCCAGGAACAACTCAGACCACCTGTTTAGAGTCTGCCCCTTCCATCATGCTTCGGGCAGTACTACACTCTGCCAGTTCTCAGGTTCCCACAGCAGTGATTATAAGGAGAACAGTAAACCTTCTGTAACGTCCTGGATCACAAACATCAACAGTTGATACTGTCATCATCATAACCATCTATATTGCAGACTTATATTGACACATTTAGAAAATAAATACTTGGAATATAAAGCATAATTACTGACATGAAATCATGATCTTTGGTGTCAAATTATTAACAATGATGTAGGTTAGTGTTTGTGTGCAACTTTGTCCACAGTTCAGAACAATCTGCATTCCCTGTGAATCCCACTGCCATCTGCAATGAGCTACTGATGGCTCACATGGAGGAAGGCCCAACAGCTGAGTCACTGGTGACTAGGTTATGGGCTGGGTGGCCACCAATACCAATTTGAGAGGAGGATGCATGGGCCCCACAACTGGTGTGGGTACAGCAGCGAAGGTGAGAAAAATCTCCACCTCTGCTAGGAATTGATCTCTGATTGTATGGTCATTCAAGCCATAGTCTGGTCACCATTCTGAGCCACCCAGTTCTGCTAGTTACATACTTTAATGAAGTGTTTATCCAAGATCATGTCTATCTTTCAGAAAGTGTATGTTTCAGAGAATGACTTCTTAGCTTTGAATATGAACTTTTATCGAGAAACCGAGATGCATCAACAGATTATCTAAAACTTAAATTCAAGAGCAGGTCAGTTTGAATGTCCAACTGGCTCTCCTGACTGAGGTTTCTCATGACAGATGCCAAGATAGTTCTTGATTAGGCCATTCATGCTCTATAATTTAGATCCTGTTGACATAATTAACTCCAGCCACCAACCATATATTTTCCTTCTGTAGAGATGCCGCTGTGAGAACGGCTGCCAGGAATCGAGAACACTATACACTGACTAGTTAAGAATTAGTCATTTCTTATTTTGTCTGTTATAATCTTATTTGGGATCCTGTGTTAATTTGACAAGTTTGTGAAGTAGTTAATTGAAGTCATAACATCGAAATGCGAGGACAAAGTTGCATCCAGCATAAACAGAGAGCTACAGTCGCCTGTCTTGACTCCAGATACACATGGCTATATGTCTGTTATGTTATCGAATACAAAGGACAAAAACTAAACTAATATCCACATCTTAAACTGTAATGTTTGTGTGCTAGGTACAGTTGTACTGCATGTCCAGCATAGCAGGGCACCAGAGGGCAAGCACACATTTGTGCTGATACTCAAATGTAAATAAGGTAAATCACCAACCAAACAACAAACTAAATCCATGGGGCAGATTCCTTGAGAAGCTGACAGTTGCCCAGCCACTCAAGCAGTTTCCTATCATTTATAGACTGCATATTTGTTATTGTATTCACAAAAGCCTCCCACTGGTCTGTACCCTGAGCCAGATGAATCCAGTCCACACCCTCCCATCCATGACAAAATGTTCCTAATGGTCTCTTTCCTTCAGGTTTTTACACCAAATCGTTTCATGCACTTCACTTCTGCCCCACGTTTGTGCTACATGTCCTTCCCATTTTATCATTTGAAATGTTAATACCATTAGACGTATTGACATGCAAGACACTGTTTCTGAATTATGTGACTGGATAATTCATCCTCTTATGGTGATTTACCATATTCTGGAAATAAATTCCATAATTAAAACACTGATATTTTAGTGGCACACAAAGTAATAACACCAAAACACACATGGTTTTTGTTTGTATCCAGACTCAGTTCTGTACACTGGAAATGAGAACAAGTCCGCAGAGTTACTTTTGCCACCCTCATGTGAGAACTCCATGCATTCCCATAACACCAACATACAGACAAAATTCATATCAAAATATTATTTATGTAAACAATCTCGTCTTATGAAGAAAAAAATCACTGTGTGGTTTCACTTTTCATTTACAGAGAGGGCTGGGCCCTCCTTTTGTAGCTGGCATGAAGTACCATAATTTACAATACTGTTTTATAAAAATGTGAAAGATCGCCACTAATAGTTTGTAGCACCTATAGACAGTCAACAATTTAATGTACCATTTCCACTGTATTTTCATATGTAGTGTAAGAATTTTACAGAAAGTACATATGATGTGAGCAGTCAAGTGTCATCATCTTAGCATCCATTTATTTATCACTTTTGTCATCAGCCATTCCTGCCCTCAGACCAGTGCCCACTTTCTATGGCTTTTGTTCTACAGCTGTTATAGCATTAAAGTGTGGGTTCAGATGAGGGTTTCCTCAAAACAAGAAGACACTCTGGAATCTCTCAATGCTGGTTCAACTGTAACACATCCATTGTGAAATGCTTAGACATAATTTGTGCCAAGATTCTGCCAGTAACTTCTTATCCTCAACAGAATGTGTGAAGTACCATCTTCTGGGATTTGATGACATATCATTAAATGACCTGGGGCATAATGGTCACAGTAGCTGTGAATGCAATAAGCATTCCTGGTTTTGAGAAGCAGAAAGCTTTTGAAGTTTAAACCAATCTGTGATAGACAGGGAAGTGTATACTGCCAAAGAAAAATTCCAAATTTAAAAAATATAGAAAGAATTGTGGTGTAGTTTTGTGCATGTGTATGTCTGCTCCCAAGCATGCATAGATGAGCAACTACAAGAACCAGGAATCAATGTGAAAATAAAATACCTTGGATGAGAAATTTGTTCCTTTATTTTAAGAGAAGGAAAACTGTAACACCTGCATGCAAATAATAGCCAATTCCTGTCATGCTGAGAAGAAACCTAACAAGCCATTGCTGGTATCTGGGGAGAGGAATGGACAGATAGAACTCTGGAAGGAATGTGTGAGAAACAAGGGAAGGAGATAAAAGTATGAAAAGGATAAAGGAAAGGAAAATAATTTATCAGTCATATACTAGTAATTTAACAGAAACAAAATACTTGCCACCATCATGAAAATTTCAGGCATCATGTTTACCTGGTGCAGCCTACTCTTCCCCATTAGCTTTAGAACCAACTGGCTAATTTTGTCTGAATTGGGTATGTAGATGTCCCACATTTTGGTGCATTTGCAATGAGAAGTTCAAAAAATGTACTTGTTAACTTTGTGGTGTCTGTTGTCTGCATGTAACAACTCAAGAAATTCTGAATGGATTTTCCTGAAAATTGATATTGGGAAGTTTTACAGAAATTTGTCAAAATTTCAACTTGGTTAAAATCGTATTACAATAACGTTTTACTTGAAGACATGTGCATAACTCACTGAATATTAATCAAAAAGAAAATTCCCTGAACAAAAGCCATAGAGAAAAATGAAACACACATTTAAAGTCCCATATGAGGCAATATGTTAACTGGTCATGCCATGTATACACTTTCTTACTTGCAAAGTTTACTTCTCTCCTGTCAGCATGGCCTCCATGAAACTTCTAACATGGGAAGAATGTTACTGTGATTTACTCCTGAAGGTCTCATTGGTTATAGACATCTGATGGACAGCAAGTCTGGCAAGGGGAGGTTCTTAGAAAATAACCTTATACTGATTACTTCTCACCTTGTCAAGAATTGACAACTTTGGACTGGGAATATGAAGTTTAGTTCAGTGACACGATATAAAAGACATATGCACAGACTTTATATGAAACATTTTTGTGCCTACAAAGACTGCAGTAGCATGAACCCTCGAATTAATATTCGACATCTTTCCAAAGATTCTACTGAGAAATAAACGCGTTTAGATTGTGAAGTTACAGTACAATTGCTGTGTTCTGGGTTCTGATGCGAGGCAGTATGATTAGATGGATCTCAACATTCAGGTGGGAGATATGTCTCCTAAGCAAATCTAACCCTTTCTACCCTGAAAACAGAGGCAGCTCAGTCCTCTGAAACGTTTGTGCCTATCTCTCAGACAGCAAAGCATCATATCCCAGAAGACTATCTTATTGCCACTGTGAGAACCTCAAATCCTGTACAGTACAGCTGCTCATGCGGATTTGGGACAGACTTCAATATTTTTCTGTTTCAACGCATTCCTGTCTTCTAGACATGACCATAGGAAAGTACCTACTTCACCAACAGTGTGGGGTCACAGAAAAGTGTCCCATGAATGGTGCGGACAACAATTCTTGAAACGTTCTTCAATTTGTCTACACTTATACCACTTTAATGCCCCCTCAGGCCTACGCTGATCATTCCAAAGTACTTGTTAATTATGGTTATCATTACAACTCTGCTGTCTACTGACAGCTGCAGGACTGGAGGTTAATACACGTAAGTGCACCGAAGGGAGACAGTGCATGGGACCTCTTTCTGTGACCTCAGTGAAGGTAGCCTTTAACTAGTTTTGTTTCTGCCTTATTTCTCTTCAGTAGTTCATTAAGCATTCCATCTGCAATTTAGCTCACACTTCCCCCTTGTGCAGCCAGCTGCAGGAACAGAAGTGTATGACAACCCAGAGGTCCAGCCAGTAAAATGAAGCCATATGGATGGCCCCCATTCTCACAAGCTAGTTACCAAAGATACAACTGTGTGAACAGAAAGTAATTGACTTTCACATGGCCTATATTCTGTTAACTTCTTGTTTTTCCTTTCCATTTTTGAATCAAACAGTGTTCATTGGTCACAGTTTACATTACTTTTCATTCAAGTTTTCCAAGCAGTTCACCATAGATTTTCAGAAACAGTTAAATTTCCATTCTAGACAGGGTTTACTGTATATAATTTCTAATTTGTAAATCTGACACGCATAATTCAGACAAACACTCAAAGGCAGCCATCGTATAACTTCTCAATACTTCAAACCATTATGTACAACAGCTAAAGATACATTCAATTGTATAAACACTTATTTACTAAATTTCATAAAGATAGAAATCAGTCTACATGTGGATGGTTATAAGGCAGGATACTCGATTATTTTCTCAAAATATGACTAAGCTTTACATGATATAACCTATTCAGTGACATAGGACCAACCTGGAATGTACATATCCTTTCCAGCAGTGCCAACATTTTCTCCATAGCCCAACTCATTGAAAAGCTGTTGAATATTTTATTCCTCCAACTTTCTTTTACTTTCACTCTGAGACTGCCAACCTTTGCAAGATGTGGATTTGTGGAACACAAAAACATCAACAAAGGTTGTATTCAAATCTTCCATTCCAAATATGTGAAGTTCAAACATATGTTCTATGGGATATTCAAAACAATTCTAGTAGTACATGGGAGAACACAAAAAGCTTCATGGAATATAAAAATACTTGACTAATGTTTCTTACTGAATTGTCCATTACATTAGTGATAATGTTCTGCACTGAGATGTCTGTGAGGACTTAAAACTGGTTTCAAGGCTAAACTATTACTTTCCTCTCATGGGGCCCCAGGCTGCTTCGGTCATAGAAGACGGACAATTTAGTACACCCTTACCCAATTTCTAACTGCTCTCATCAGTGAGAATACTTACTGAATGAGGTCCACTCCATATCTCAATGCATACTATGTGCTTTAACTTTTACCCATCTCCCAATACACTCTGAGCATGGATGTTCAAAGTTTAAATTATGTATAAAATGTTCTGAAATATCTTTTTACTGAACTTTGCATTACACTATTGGTTGTAGCTGGTGTGCGCATTTTAACCATTCAAGTGTTATTCAAACAACCGAGATGGAAACAGTTCAGTATCTGTTTCTGTACAATCAGCCCTGTCTGTTGTGCTAGAATGAGAATCAGTTTTGGTTAGTTCAGATCTTCACTGACGTTCCATTTTCGTACGCTTGCTATAAGAATCTTATCAGCTTAGTTCCACTGTAGTATACAATTCACAACAATTCCAAAGAAACTTATAAATAATCCATCCAATATATACAATGTCTTCAGAGGCATTTTGCAACAGTGCTGCCCTCCAAATGTGGAGGAATGTTTTGTACTTAAACATGCAGGGATGGAGGGCTGCAAACACAACCAGAACTGTAAGTGAGGTGGGTTCTGGGCTCTGCTGTGCAGAAGGACCAACTTACATCAGTTGAGGCTCACTATCAGCGTGGGTTGTGCCATTGTTAATTAGCGACTTCTGACGGGTCAGAGTCATGTGTCGTTCGTGCTCGCCTGTGAGTGGTGTCTGTGGGGCAGACGAGTGGTGCTGCGGCTGCTGCTGCTGGATGGCACTGATTATGTTGCTGTTATTGTGCTGCAACACACTAGGATCCACTGAGAGCTGGCGCATGTTGGGCTGTGACCGTGTGCTGTGGGCGCCCTGATGGTGCTGGTTGTGGCCTGCTCGAGTTGTGTTCCGCCGCACTGGATTTGGAGTTGATCGTCCTGATAGACGCATACTGCTGAAGTTAGACAGTCTGTTGTTGGTGCTGCTTGCAGCTGGTGCAACTTCAGGTGGCTTCTTCTGCTGTGATTTCACTCTGCCAATAGCACTGCTCCCAGCTGGGTAACACATGACATAAACATGGAGATTCCTGATATGCAAACTAACATTCTGTTGGCTTCATCATGCAGAAAGCTTTTAGACCACTCCCTGAATAACCCTACAGAAATCCTCATTTTCAAAAAGTATGGTAGTGCTAATTCCACAATTCTGGTTTGTTTTGAATGTCCATCAGAGGGCAGTTACACTTAGTCAAGCCATCCACTGTGTTGCAGAAATTTGTCTTTCAGCTGCAAAAACTGATTTATATGATTTTATAGAAGCTATTTTCTGTTGCTGTCAGTATTTAGACAATAAAATATTGGATGGTAGGATGACTGATGGATTTAAAAGGATTTGGAATGAAGCAGTCACAACCCAGTTAAGGTGTCTTGGCATTTGCCTAGAGGTGCCGAGGAAAGTCAAAATATCCTCAGTCAATACAGCTGGTGTCCCAGCTGAGGGGATTTAGACAAAGAACCTCCTCAATACAAGTCTGGAGTGTTAGCACTCTGTTGGGAAATTAATAAAGCTGCGTGTAACAGGCACTTCAGCATTCAAATGAATCAGTAGCAACCAGATGTACTGAACTACTGTGAGCCAGCTGGGTAACTGTTGTGTATAAGAGGCACAGAGGTAAAGTTCCATGTATTTGATAAACTATTGGCACACCTGAAGCGTCAGGTAGGAGCTGTAACTGTTTTACTACCTAAGACAAGTTGCCCAGTACACACTAGTCAGAAGACTGGATGGACATTTGGGCCATTGTGGACTTCATTTTAAAGACAAAGATCACAATAAACCTGCCAGGAATCTAATCCCTATGGTACAATCCAAAATGTCTCTCTAACATCCCATAATGAAAAGATTAATTAAATATTCTTCTATGTTGAGATTTGCCTGTTTGTACTACAAGCAAATTTAATTGATTCATTAACTTCAAAAGCCACTCACGTGTAACTGCCTTCTTGATGGTCTGTCTGCGGCGTGCCTGCAACATCCCGTAAACAACAGTTGCCAGGCTGCTGTAAGTGCTCGGCTGACGCACAAATCCTGGGGCACGCCCAGTTCTGCGTCCCATCACGTAGTAAGTCTCCATGTCTCCTTTCCCCTTGACAGCCACCATGCCACGCAGCTGCACCTGATAACCCCGTTTCTCCAAGATCTGAATAAAACAACATGATGTGTCTGACTGTACAGCAAGGAGGCTGAGAAACATCTCACACAATAATGGTTTTCCATACTGAAATAAATGTACATGTGGGAACTGCACTGCTTGGTGCTTGGCTTACTCTACAATTCTGAAACTGGACGCAGTAAATTCATAAGGAATTCTTGTAACTTCTACCAGATTATACAGCACCATGTCCCATGGGACAGTACACTTTAAATGTGCATTTTAACTGCACTGAAGCCTGCTCAAAAATTCCATGACCAATTGTGTTTCCTCAGCTGAAGCACACCTCATTCAGAACAGAAATATTACATCAATTTCTCAGTGTTATTATTCTCAATACAAGAATTTTAAATTCTTTACAGAAACTTTTTGGTAAATTGTAGTTCTCATTATAACCTTTGATCATGCATTATGGTTAAGTTATTCTTCTTTTGTGAGTTACTATACAACACTATCAGTCCCAGGGTTACATAGCACCAAATACTTAATACATTTTTAGCAGTAACACTAGCTGCTAACAATTAGTGTATATTAAGCTATCTCCCCTTTAAAATGCATCTACTGTAGGGACATAATGGCTTTTTTTACTGCTGCTGGTAACACAAGCTTGTATAGCAGAGCTGTAGGGAAGGTTGCATTACACAACATGGTGTCTGTTCTGTCCATCAGAGGAGAAAATGTGTGAAGTTCAAGCTTGCCCTTACCACAGAAGTTTCTTTAGGGACCTGGATTTGGCCCATGGTACCAGTTGAATCCATCCGAGATGCCTCATTCACAGTGTTGCCCCAGATGTCATACACAGGCTTGCGGGCTCCAATCACTCCACCCACTAATGGACCACAGCTGATTCCTATCAAAGTTCAAATTCATTACACCTAGACATCCAGTGGATACACACACCCTGGCTCAGATTTAGCCATCACATCACAACTTACCAACTCTCAGGTAAAAGTTATTGAAGGAGTGTTTGTTGACATCTTCAAGTCGTGTCTTCATAGCAAGGGCAAAGTCCACCAGAGCACACACATGTTCATACTCGTCCTCTTCCACCTGAACAGAAAGAATTTCTCAGTGACACGACCAGACCTTGACACTTCATCACCTGCAGCACACATCAGTGTACTCACTTTTGTGCATCACTGCAGACAGAACACTCAGACACTCAGATGATACTTTTTAATGCAGTGGGCATTGCCCACCTAATGATGGCTGAAACATGAATGATAGTAAGGAAGGAACAATGGAAGGAAAAGATGATAATGAGGAAACAAGTAAAGAGAGATTTGGGGAAATTTGGGAAATTTGAGAAGTAGAAATGGTGAAAGAAAAAAAAACACTATGAAATCAGACAAATTATTCATTCAGAAATGAGAAACAATAAGAAGACAATCAAGCAAACATCTATAATTTGAAGAATTTGCTTAATATAAGTAAGTTGGGGGAAACGTATGCTTAGCATACTAAGTCTGGCATGTTTGTTTGCTTCTATCTGATTATCTTGAAAACCAGAAGACATAAGGAATAACTGTGTAGGATATACAAACGTGTATTTCATTTTCCTCTACAACTATGGTTGAAAAGAATTTTTTGCTCTGGCAAACATTCAGCAAGTTACATAGGTGTTCATTCAGAGAGTCCATTATTGATGCCCAATTTTAATTGAAAATGTAATTTTTCAGAAAAAAGCAATTTTTATGAAAAACTCTTCACTCATTCTGTATGTTATGCGCGGACAAACAATGGTGGTGAAGCCAATGGACTCATTTTTGCACCTCTTTCGTGAACATACCAAAAATTGGTAAAAAAGAAATAAGGGTACCCCTTTATGAAAGTCAAGAGACTGAGGAGTTTTGCCTTCTGGGATATAATGTCATGTAGTGCAGTGAAAGTCAAGGGAACCCACTGGCTCCAACATGTTGGCTGACTTTCGCCTGACTATGTGACACTATATCCCACAAGACAGAACCTCAAATCATACAGAGTCAAGAGATTGCTTTGCATTGTTACTGAATCTAGGGGGTACGCAGTAGCGTAGTGGTTAAGGTACTATGCTACAAGCCGGAAGGTTGCGGGTTCAAGTCCTGATGAGGTCATTGGATTTTTTTCAATTGACCTAATCCTTCCAGCTGCACTAGGCCCTGAGGTTTACTCAGCCTCCAACAGAAATGAGTACCAGGAATTAATTAAATAATTTTCCTGAGGAGTGAAGCACAGCCAGCACGTAAGGCTGACAACCTTACCGCCATCTTTGAGCCGATTGTCAAGGTAATGTGGGAGCCTTAACGTCTCACAACCCTATGGGCCTTCATGGCCTCTTACAGGGACAGCTTTACTTTTTACTGAATCTAGTTCTACTTTAGTATCCAATTTCTCTGCAGAACATGACTCTCCTGCCCACACGTTCCTTGCCAACTCAACGGACAATTTAGAATTTCCAAATAACTTACAAATCAACATTTAATTACACATGGATGTGGGAAACAGTTGGTAATGTAGTAGATGGAAAGTAGATGAACATCAAATGGTGACAAATATCTAAAGATAATATGGAATTATAAACCTATGCTACAGAGAGTAAAATGCATTAACCTACCTAACTAGCAAAAACAAATACAAACTATGTACCTTTTGGCCAGGATTCAGTCCTGATGCTGCCATGTATGTGGCTCCGACTGTCTTGACCTTCTCAATACTTTTAAATCGAGGTTCATCCAACAATTCATCAAAGTCAGCTGGAAGACAATGAACTTCACTGAATCATACAGTCAACAGAAAAATAATGTCAACACAATACATGGCTCTGATATGTAAGGATGAACCAAAGTCACCTGCCACATACATTTCATGGTGTATCACTACCAAATGAAGTTCTTCATGGCAAATGTATCAAAATCTCCATGGTCACATATTCCACAAACAACATCAGTGATGATTTAAAACCATTAAACTTTATGTTATGTAATTTTCTCAGTTTGTCTACGAGATTTGAGATTCTAACAGCAGTGACCTTTAAGGGTACAGCGTTCTGGGATGTGACAAGATGTAATCTGGTAGGTGTTCACACTCCCCCCCCCAAGCCTCCAAAGGAAACTCTGATCACTACCATGTGGAGTTTAAAAAGATGGCTTACCAATGATCTCATTTAGAAGCCGGATGCATTCCATTCCTTTGTTTATATCTTCTGAATAGAATTCTGTGAAGTTTGGAATGCTGGCGAACATCACCCCAACTTTGTCTCGCGACTGGGAGTACAGCTCCTGTCAAACCAAACAAACTGTTGCCTATGAAGAGTACTATTATCCTCTCAGGTGGGACGCCATATAGGCCTGCAGAATGTGACGCCTCCATCTTCAGGGTTGAAGAGTATATCAACCAAATGACCAACAAGAAGCACTGCCTGCTTCACGTGGGTTGTTTGCTTGGCTTCAGCTTCTGTTTAAACTTCAGTGAACTTCTAGCCAACTTCCTGGGGTAATATCACAGGAGATAGTACTTTCAAAATTTCTGCCTGACTGCCTACTCCACATGTAATTACAGTTATAGGTAGACAGGCAGAAGTGTCAGTACTTTGCCTGTGATATGGTTGCATTCCTTGTCAGTAGCTGAGAGTTTAAAGAAGGAATGACACTCAAATTGCGAAATTACAGTTTGCCCATACATTAACCTGGGGAGATTCCTCTGCTGTGGTGCAACCCACCCTGTGTAATTTCTTCCCACACACCCCAAACATGCGACCTCCAAATACATCACAATGTAACCACCTGGGCTGAGGGTGCATTCCTGTCTAAGTTTAAGTTACTGGACCCTTGTGCCAAAAGTTTCGATTCTGAGACAGGTACGATCCATTGCAAGTTTACCTGCGCATGTGCTCATTGTGTCCGCCAGCCACTTATATCATCATAATCATCATCGAGCTAAGAGAATCTCGGCATATGGGTACCCCCATACTGTAAGTGGAGACCTATTCACCAAACTTCATTTGCAAGGCAAAGCCTGTTTCTAAATTTCCCGATGTGGATTCAGCGCCCACCTCTGTTGGTCTGTCCTCCCCTAGGAAGTGATGTGCCACATGGTCAGGCAATATGTTCTTCAGGAGCTGGGTATTGTTAGCTCGGGTCTCCATCATGTCTGCCAACTCGCGCTCTGCCTGCTGTTTCCACAAGAAGTCCAATCTTGATGTCACCTCCACTAGACGAGCATGATATGTGACCATGATCAGGAACACCACCAAAAGCAGCACCATGATCGCCGTTTTGGGGATGACCTCTTTACTGAGAAAAGTTACAGAAAATGTAACTACATGTTCTGTACTTTGAAAGAAACAGTGGACAAATGTGCTCCACAGCTTCAGGAGACACTGCTTACTGTAGCAGAAGCACAATGAACAAGAAACCATCTTCCAGTATTATCAAAAACGTGTACAAGAACAAATGCATTTCCTTGCTTAATTCTTAGGTTATTTAACAAAACTCTTTCAACCACAGAGGTTACAGGGCACAGGTAGAGGTTTATTTTGGCTATCAGGTCATATTACCAGGTCAGCTCAGCTGTGCAGGCCACAGATCTTTATGAGCATAAAAATGTAAGTGTTCAATTTATGTCTCCCATGTTAACATAGAAAAATTTAGAGCAGTCAACGAACACTTAAACTGAACAAAAACAAATGCAGCCCAAAGTGTTCCTTTTCTTAGTTTTGTAACTTTATGACTATGAATTATACATACAGTGTAAGCGGGGTACGCACATGCAGATAGTGCACAGCTCTAAGTTTTCTGTTGCAGTGCAAACACACTGCTGCCTGGCCTTTCCCAGCACCTACCTGGTACAATGTGAACATGATAATGAACACTGAATTGAGAAAGCCTGCTCAAGATTCAAGTGCATCACCTGAACAGTAGGAGTTACTAAGGAACTAATGGGTTCAGATTCAGCTTACAACGTGATCTGATTCAAGTACGAGTACATTCACAGCGTTTTTTTTTTAGAGCTGGCTGTTTTCAGCAGAATGCACGGTGGATTTTGTGAGATAAGGGGTGTAGGGTATGTGTGGGTCACAGCAGGGCCTTAGTTATAGTGAGTCACCCTCTCCTCACTGTGAAGCTGCAACCACTGATGTGCTACTTCTTCCCACACTTCTCACCTCACCTCTCCTCATCTGGAACCCAAAGGCCTTGTCTATGAAGAGCCTGCAGGTACACCGGGAGACGTACAGTAGCAGCCAAACAGGGCGAATGATTTCAGAAGTAAGATGATTAAAATAAATTGCACGAAACTCTCAGCACATTTTAAGGTTGGAAAGAGGAAGAATAGAAATAATAAAACCTAAAGGAAGATGGCATGCAATACACATACAGAAGAACATGAATAGGACAGAACAAAACCAGAACATCTTGAGGATCTGCTCATACTCACTCCTTGTCAAAGACTTCCTTATAGGCCACCAGTATGAGAGTGGTGAAGATAGTGACCATGGCAGAGGCCAGCGTGGTTTTGACCAGGTAGTAGAGTTTGAGAGCTGTAGCCAGGGCCACCAGACATAGCACCCATGTGTACACGATGTATTCTGGGGCAAAGCACTGCTCAGGCCCCATACCACTTGTATCCCGTGAACTGGCATCAGAATGAAGACCGGGCTCTGAAACTGGGTTCTCTTCTGTCATGGAGAAGCCACTGTCATCTTCTGTAGCTCTCTTGCCTCGCTTCTGAACCAAAATGTTGTTCACACTGACAGCATTACGCAGCAACACTCTGTCTTGGATTCTACCTCTGTCTCTGACATTATGCACCATGCTAAACATGTTGTTACCTTGTGCTATGAGACTTTTCCACAAGTTCCCAACATGATTTGTATTCTTATTGGATGCTATAAACTTACGAGTCCTTAACTTAACATCATTCTTTGCACTACTATCATCACTGATTATGTTAATGTCTGAATTAATCGCAATCCTACTGTGTCTTTTGTTACGGACACTGTGCTCCATGACATGAGCATGTGTTCTGTTCGTTCCATCTCCCACATCATGTGTTGGATAGTGATTCCAGGCAGTTCTGTTTCTGCCGTCAAACTGCCCAACAGTGGCGCCTGAATCACTGTTAGTTCTTAATCCTACTTGTCCCAGAAAAGTAGTATCATTAAACTGGGTCATGTTTCCTAATGAATCAGAATTATATTCACTGACAATTTTCCTGCTTGAGATCACACTGTTTCTGTTATTAAGACTAGACACACTTCTCCTCCAGTTCCTGGTATTCCCTGCCATAGAATTAGTAGCAAGTATCGTTGAATTACATTCTGACATGTTGGTGATGCACTCTGGTAGCACGACGCGGTCTGCAGAGGCTGGATACTCTCGAGAGGTGACAGTCAACAGCAAAGACAGAAACACCTCACCCACTGGGGAGCGAACCATCGCTTGTGGAGATGGGTTGGCCACTAACGAGGGGACACCATTGCTGTTTTTCTCTGGTTCACTTGTAACATTTGAAGATTTTGGACACAGCACCTGTTAAAGATGTGGAAAATACATGCCATCAGACAATGTCATGTCACTGCATCATCTGATTCACCAATGCCCACAGATGCAGAGTGTAACTGTTCAGTCCACTCAGTTTTATATGAGTTGACTGAAGTTTCCAGTAATGATTCTCAAGGACTTCTCTTCCCTACCAAATTAAAGTGCCAACACACAATGACATAAGGAGTTTCATGACTGAAGAACGCTGCCTGTCAAATTTGAGACTCTCGTGATCCTGACCACGATGCTATTGGTGTCTTCTGGCATGTGACACCATGTAGCCTGGTAGAATGTTACCAACATATTGAAGGAAAGTGCTGTGCCCATCTTCAGGGTGGAAAAGTGTACTCTGAAGACAGAAAGAGCATATTCCTCTGAAACATCAGCACTGATCTATCACACTACATGACATCATGTCATAGATGCCAGTATCTTCAAAGAATCAAACTGTTAAGATATTTACAGACATCATGCAAGACACTGACAGTCCAGTGATTGAGGCTAGCTCTTTCTAACGGACCCAACTGAATAGGTGTTTTCCTTCACCTGAGGACGGAAACAGATCCAGTTTCCGAAACGTCGTGTTTTTATTTTGTTATCTTAAAAACCAGGACGATGGATAAAGTCCAAAAACCCAACATATCAGTGTGTTATACACCATCGTCAGAATCCTATGGTAACTAATCATGCAAGACATTTCAAGATTTTATAGATACAGTAAACACTTACTAATCTGGAGTAACTGGGGAGAGGTCATCCAGATTAAGCAATAGTTTTAGTTAGTGAAGCAAAAGGCAACCCTAAGTGGCAAAGAAAAAAGACTTAGAACACAGACAAAGGGAAAATTTAATGCCATTAGTAGCGCTGATGAAAATAAATAACAAATATCACTGTAAAATCCTTTATTGACAACCCATTAAAAGACAACACATTTATTCATTGATAGAAGACTTGGAAGTTGTATTTGTTTTTGAATGTATTAGTGCAGGTCTGAAGAAAGTGTCAAGCTTTGTCTGGACAGATAAGTGACTCATCTGCCTGTCTAAATGCCACATGTCTTTTGAAGTATATACTCAACAGTGAACAGCGTTTTTAATTTTTCATATTTTGATCTGGATTATCTGACATCCAGATTAACTGCAACCAGATTATCGAGGGTTTATTATATCATGCAACATCTTTCAATATGTTAAATTTAACTGCCTTGAGCTGGAAAGGTGTTCTGGATTTTGATCATTGGCTGTGATTCCCAATCAGCTGGCTGAACACTGAAGTTTCTCAATCATAGTACTGTTACCCTAAGTTAAAACCCACCCTGAGAGCACTGGTGGATTCAAAATTCCTCATTCCTAGACAACAAAGGATATGGCGCCTCTGCTGAGACTTACCAGACTGATTGAGGAAGCAACTGACATAAGAACAAGCACACAGCAGATGAAGACAGTTCGGCGGTTGCGATGATGCATCAGAACACTGGACATTGTCTGCAGTGTCTCAGGCAGCTGGTGGAACTCTTCTGCCATCACCATCACCAGTGCTAGCGCCAGCAAGATGGTTGCAACTGCCATTGTTGCAACCAGAATCGGCCACCTACAGACGTCACTTGTTAATAAGGCATGCAGTTGTGTATGGGAAAATAAACGTTGGAAATCCAGAGGAAGTTCCTGCCTCCATCTGAAGGACAGATGTGAAGATTTAGAAAGTGCTAAACCTCTCCCATATTGCATGAGACGTGTAAAAGTTCTTGTAGTCATGAACATTCAGATTGCTGTTTTCTAGCATAGAATGCCATGTGGTCTGTTGAACGGTTACCAACGTTTCAGAGGAATCTGCTGCCTTAATTCTCTGGGAAAAATAACTTCCTCTACCATGAGGCTGAAGGCAGCAGGTCCCTACAACAATGTAACAACCCAGCAGAATAAAGAGTGTCACAAGGCAAAAGGCTAAAACTTCAAAATATTATCATGGAAACCTGAAAAAGCATTATAATCCATGCTGACAAAATATACTGAAGGTGAAATGAGACCTCATAAGGCAGTCCCATGGATTACGGGATGACAGGGTTTGAGGCTTCAGTCTGTCTATTCTTGTACTGCTTTCTATACTCCACTGGCCTATGCCAACCATTCCACAATACTTGTGGTCAGACAAGGTTATTGTTACCAGTACGAATTTCAACAGAATGGCTAAATGAGTGTGGGCAGTTTAGTGACACATAAGGGTTCTAGGGACATGTTGGGGGGGGGGCAATGAACATAGCCTCAGTACGTTATTTCGTTCATTCAACAAATGCAGTGCACAACCCTATATTGAGCATAGCACAGTTATGCTTACTGGGAGTAACAGCTCAATGTTTTTATAGCATAGAAGGACAAATTATGCTGAGGTAAATATTTACAACTTTTCAAAATATTTTGCCCACACAGACAGGTCTCATTATGTAATGTTGTCGATTCCCAGTTGAGTTTTCTCTCAGATCTACTAACTTCTCTTTTGCACAAGTTTGAAACCCTTTGAAGTCAGGTCCTCCTCAGACCAACATATTTAGCACTCTGAAGCATGGATTTCATTAGAATATTTAAACATCTGGTTCATACTGTGCAGAAAGCACAGTTCAGTTCCATACCAAAACCCAACCAGTTATTGTTGTTCAGGGAAATAATCGCTGTTTGTTGTGAGAATCATACATAACAGACAGACACACTGTGTGGGCAAAAATTCAAGAGTTTTGTAGCGCTATGGTAGATGGTACATTCAAGACTACCAAGCAGATACCCTCACTCTACACAATGTACCTGTATAAATGTCTCATACCTAGGCAAGATGATGAGTTCGCATGTCAGTACGAACAGCCAGATGATGAAACAGCAAAGCATATTTGACTTGAACATATCCTCACGCAGTTGGCAGAACTGTGGACAGAACAACATGGCTGTGGTACTGGAAACTGAACCATGTACAGCTAAAATTATCAGTGTCAGGCTTTTGTGAATATGGTAATGAACATTGAGGTTCTATAAGACACAGGGAATTTCTTGACCAGCTGAGTGACTGTCAGCTTCTCAATAAGCATGTTCCATGGGATTATTACTGATACAACACAAAACTGATACATGCCTAACATCTCACCTTGTTTTCAGTAGCAACATCATGGAAACGCAGAGTCCAGGCATTGAGGTTAGCATTACGCATGCGTTTGTTACTCTCAATCTCAATACTGTGGTCAATTATCTCATCCACTTGCTCCGCCATGGACAGGCCACGTGGCACAGTCTTGTCACCTGCCTCCCCACCATTACCCACTTCATCATCATCCTGGAATGGATCTTCCTCCAAGTCAACAGCTCCCCCTGAATTCAACTAAACAGACAGGATGCCATACAGTAAGTAGTTAATCATGTTAAAGTCATGGCAGAGCAAGGGGCTGATGAGACAAAACGCAGGGCAGTGTTACATACTGGGGAGAACTACAGCTTGCACTGAGGACCTAGAGCGGCAGGACATATTGTCACCAGAATACTGTACTGCGTCCACCAACACCAGTTTTTGGGAAACTGGGTTCGAAGTTAAGGAGCCAACCACAGTTTAAATGTGACTCAGAACAAAGCACATTCTGAAATCTCGTGCTTGCCAATTAGGTACACATATGAAGGATGTGGAGATGGTGCAATGTGATGCAGAGAATCATGAAAATGCATTGTCTAATTATCGCACTTGACACCCAGGTGACGACATGGCACTCTTGGAGGGAAGAACGAATGGGTGTAAATACAAGATTTAATTTGGTGTTGATTGGTTACAGACTCATTGCAACACTATGTCCTATAACATTTATTAACTTTAAAAGTTTGATAAAAGTTTTAAAAGTCCATTGCTACATATTTCGACCAATGTGGTCATCATCAGGTGTTAAAACCTTTGGTGAGGAAATTGCTGTCCTCTGTTGTTAGATATACAAGTATACAGGGCCTCTCAATGCACAAAAAGCAAAGCAAGAGAGAACAGCAGGCTAGAGAAGACTGCATGATAAGGAGAATCATTATTTGTACTTCTCAAAAGTAGTATCATGATGATGAGATGAACAGGGCATACAGCATGCATGGCAGCAAAGAGACAGCTTACCAAATTCTGATAGGAAAACCTTATGGAGAGAGATGTCTAGGAAAGTCCAGGAATAGACCGGAGACAAAGCAATATCACAGGAGGTTGTGGACCGGATTCATCTGTATACAAACAGGGACCAGTGGCAGGATCCTGTGAACGTGGAAATGAACTTTTAGGTTCCAGAGAAAATGGGGGAATTTCTTTACCAACTGAACAACTACTAACTTCTCATAAGGAGCTCAACTCAATGGAGTTAGATAGATAGTTTGTTAGCAGTCTGGTTAGGTGGGCATCAACATATAAGATAAAAATACTGCCCCCATCTTCAGGTCAGTAGAAGACAGCGACAGAATATCCCTCTGAGACATTATCAAGTTACTAGACTACACGGTGTCAAAACCCAGAACACTAGAACTTGAATGGATTCAGCTCTTTTCCATTATAATGACATTTATATGCTGATGAGAGGATTGCAACATAAAGCCTTATCATTGTCATACAATGTCATCTCACTGAAACATAATGCCTTCTCATGGCAACATTAAGCCACCTCATTGCAACACAGTGCCATCTCATTGCAACACAGAGCCATCTAATTGTAACATTAAGCCACCTCATTGCAACACAGGGCCATCTCATGCAACTTGAAACCATCTCATTGCAACAGAGCCATCGCACTGCAACACAGAGCCATCCAATTGTAACATTAATCTACCTCATTGCAACACAGGGCCGTCTCACTGCAACATGAAACCATCTCATTGCAACACAGAGCCATCTAATTGTAACATTAAGCCACCTCATTGCAACACAGGGCCTTCTTACTGCAACATGAAACCATCTCATTGCAATATAAAGCAATCTCATTGCAACATAGAGCCATATCACTGCAACATAAAACCATCTCATACCAACATAAAGCCATCTCATTGCAACACAAAGCCTTCCCATTGAAACCTGTGCCAAAAAAAGAAACCAGAAAATATAGGCAACTACCTTAAACTCATGGTGCAACACATCACACAGGTTTGAGGCAAAATAAGCTGGTGTTCCAAAGTATGTAACATGGACAAGGTTAAGTTGGCCACATACATTCTCAAAGGGAATCTCCGGCTGCCAGTCAGTAGTGGTCTCCTCGTCTATGAAGCCAAGCGACGTGGGACCTCCACTTGACCCCTGCTGCTGTGCGGCAGTGACAACTGTCGCTACAGATGAGTTGTTGTTGTTGGCAGATGACAGTGTGACCAATGTGCCTGCCTTTTCATCCACTGACCAGAGTCGTGGCCTGGAGACACGGTGATACACACGCCGACGAGGGCGCAGTGGCTCAACTTGCTTAATTAAGTATGACTCCACCTCATGCTCCTGTGGAGAGTGTGTACACACCAGGCATAACATTTCAGTTCACTTGAAAGACATTATTTCAGGGCTAATACAAAGCTCTTTGAAATTCCAACAGGAAATTGTTGCCAATGTCAACACCATGCTTGGTCATCCTGTACTTGTCTCTGCGAACCACTCTCACACTACAGCCCTTGAGAGGCACTGTGATATCGCTATTTCACTGAACATGCATGTTACCAGCTTGAAGAGTCCTGAAGAAATAGCTACATGTTTACTAGGATGCTACAATAATACACACTAAGTGGTACTGCAATCTAGAGATATGCTATGAACGTTTTTGGCAAAGGTGCATACTGCAATACCGACTCGAGTTTACCTCCACTGCCGTCTACTGATACTATCTTCTGTTTCCGTTCTTAGCTACTTCCAACTCTGATTGCTAACATGTGACAAATAGCAAGTGATAATGATAAGAAAGTAAGTCTATCCCTGTAACGGGCCATGGAGGCCAAAAGGGTTGCGGGACATCATGGCTCCCACAATTTCTAGACACTCAGCTCACAGGTGGAGGTGAGGCTGTCAGCCTTACACCCCAGCCGGCCATCCTTTTTACCCTAAGGAAGATTCCTGGTATTCATTTCTGTTAGAGGCTGAATGAACCCCCAGGATCACAGTGCAGCTGGAAGGATTAGATCAACTGCATAAACCAATGATCTGATCAGGAATCGAACTTGCAACCTTCTGGCTTGTAGCGTAGTGCCTCAAGCTTTTTACGTTTTATATGTATGGATATTGTGATTGCTCACCTTCAAGTAGTTGTCTCTTGTGTCCCCATGACCAGGCTCCACCTCATATGCATCATTCAGGCAATCCAGAGTAGCCTTTGAGATGTGAACTCGACTGCAACATCATTTTCTGGTATACATACATTGTTACTTGGGTGATGGACAGGTTATGTAGCACACATGACAGAAATGCATACTAACGTCTAGCTGTAAAACCTGAAGGTAAGGGGTTGTTTGTAAAACAAAGACATTGTTGGGAGGATAAAATTCAAAGAAATATGGTGTCAATATATGGACTAGATTTATTCCACAGGACAGACTCCAGTGGTGGGATCTTGAGGAAACAGAATGAAAATTTTGTGTTCCATACAAGGCTGGCAACTTCTTAAGTAGTGAGTGACTATCAGATTCTCAGAAAGGACTTTCCTCCATGGGGAGAATCAGGTAGTTAGTTAGTTGTGCAGACAGTAACTAAACTCAGGAAGGCTTCTACTGAACCACATTCATGTATTTACTTCTGTTGTGTTCACAACCATAAGCTGCAAAAATGCACCTATTGTCATCACCATTGTGCTTCTGTTTGTCTGGCTCTCAGTCAGTCTGCATGTAACAATTCAAAGCCCACTAACCATATTTTTATATTGCAGAATTTTACTAAATTTGTTGGTATGCTTTGGTTGAAGATGAGACAACAGTAAGAGACAGTTTGTACATGCATTATTGCTTGCACCTCAAGTGTAACTTGCTAAATACCTACCAGAAGAAAAAAAAATATCTTGAAGACAGGTTTATATGGAAATGAAACATATTTCTTATGTAGAATGCACTTTTTTTGGTAAGTCATGCAGTTTTCAACACACCAATCATTAAACTAAAGTGATTCTAATATCACGTCATCTCATAGCTTGAGAAACACTGGGCTGGTAACATTTTATATAGGAACTGAAAATATGGAGCTAACAACAGAATGTAAGCACCAGAATTGTTATATGATGTGCATATTTACCAGCTTATTTATTCTATCTAATTCCAACTAGCAGTTGTTGCTACACTGAGGACTTGTTTATGCGCAATATCTATACATTTACATTGGAGGATGAACTCCCCCCTGTTATGGCGTGAGGGGGCGTGGAGGTACCTCCACCGCTTCCGCCACTGTACCTCTCTTAAGCCGCCGCTACACCTCTCTTATGCCGTGGTGACAGAGGGCGTGGAAATATCCAGCTCTGTCACCCTGTTTAGTATGCTGCCACCATCTTGTTAATTTCAAGAAATCTAGTAAACTTATCATAGCTTGCGTCACTGTCCTGGCTTAACTCGTAATTCGCCGGAGTGTTGGGAGGTCCTGGAGTCGTCAAGGAAGAGGGTAACACTTAAGGAATTGCTAGGTTAAAGTAAACTCACACGCATGTCTATCCTATTCTATTTCTCTATGTCAATATATACATCTATATGCACTCTTACCGACGTTCGTCGGTTGTACTACACTGGATAATGAACCTGCAGTCATCATTGGTTCTACCTCCTGTCACCCTACTGGCGGGTATTCTACGCCTCGGTATCTCGAATGAACCTAGTCAATCTAGTTAGCCTATCTTTCCCTATGGTTTTACACTTTACAATTATCACTGTTACACTTAATGTTCATGGCTATATGAAGTTGGTTTCACTTACTTGAGATTGAAGAAACAGACGCTTGCCCTCACCAACCAATGCCCACTCATGGCCATCGCCCTCTCGGCGATAGCCTCTGGCTGGACTCTCTATCACATAATACTATTCAAAAGTCAAAAGGCAAAAAGGTAAAAAGGTAAAAGGTTTTTTGATTAAGTCTTCTAGGGTTTATATAACCTCTCTTTGCTGATTCTTTGAGTTCCGGGTAGGTTGCCTGCCCATTCTGACGTGATTTTGGCCTCCCTCATTGGTTGCCCATCGAGAAGGGGTTGACTCTTTCGGGTCTACCGCCTCCTCTGACTCAGCGTTTTCCTCCTGCCATAGTGTTTATGACCCACTTCATATAGCTCCTTCCTCAATGTCAGCGCTATTACACTGCCGGGTTAGCATTCTAATGACTCAGGCATTCCCTGTTACAATTCTTTGTAGACCTAAGCCTCCTGGTTCGTTTCATCATGGCTATTTCTTAATCTTATAGTCTAGCTACTATTATTCCAATTTTACCTCAAAAACTATATCTACATGTACGTAACCTTAGCAGCATTACACCTCCTATTTCTCCTTTTCTGCTGCAATCTGCTTACCCTGGGATGCCTCCTGACTCCATGTGATTGGCTAATGTTACGTCATATGACCACACATCAAACTGCCACTTACGAAGACCAAGTACACCGCACAGTACTGAACCAGAATGGATTCCAATCCGCATATCCAAATCAACCTGCAACACATACTGACTGGTCAAGTGTCAATAGCAATTTGGAAATGTTGCAAACATTCTCAAGGTGAACTTCTGCATTATGGACACTCTGATTATAGAGCATAACCCTTTATGATACAACTGAAAGATAGTGACTATAAAATTCACAGGACAGAAGCTAAATTCACCCTTACAGAAACTGGGCAAAAATATTAATAATCTTTTAAACAAAAAATTCAGCCCATTTACTTATTCCAAGGAAGAATTCAAGGTCACATATGTTCTCATGCCAGTGACACAGTAGGGAGTATACAGGTATACAGGCTGCCTTCAGATCTGGTCTTGTGGCTGGAACCTGAGAAGAAGCATGGCAAGGGGTATCAGTGTAGTGGCTGCAGCTCAACCCTCATCTCAGTGGAGGCAATGAAATCCACTGTGCGAACGGCCATGTCTAGCCACATGGCCAGCTCATGCGCACATATGTGTATGAGTGGTGTGTGTGATTCCTAGGGTTTAGATTGTGCAGTACACTGCTCCTACTTAAGAGGCCTGGAAAGAGACCATCAAGTTCAAGATTTTTCAAGTTTATGTTTATGCATCTATGTCTTATTTTGATGGGTAAATATGTGTGTTTTACTGCAACAGAACCAAAACTGATTTCTGTATGACTACATCTCCAATAATAATATGGAACTCCATGACAAAACGGATTCCACATTATGGACTTCAAGACACAAACACATTTTAAAGAACAGATCAGTTGCATAATGTGGGCAGATCTTGTATTTTGATGCATTTTGAGTACTTGCAGGAGGATGGAGAAAATTATGCAATGAGGAACTTCATAATTTGTATTTACTGAGTATTACTACGATTATTGAAGGAAGGAAGATGAGACGGGTGGAGAATGCAGTAAACGTAAATTTCAGTCGGAAACCCAAAAGAGAAGGAAACCTCTTGGACGATATAGATGCAGATAGTAGGATAATATTAAAATGGAGCTGGATCCATTTGGTTGACAATAAGGTCCAGTGGTAGGCTCTTGTGAATCTGTTAATGACAATTCATGCTCCAAAAAAAGAAATGGAGTTTTCTGGGTAGTTGAGGAACTGTTAGCTTCTTAAGCAAGACAGTGCTCCATGGAGTTATCTGAGATGACAGAACACTGTGCGTGATAAACATGCCAAAACATACGGTGCAACAAACTGCCTAAAACAAGCATCAGGATAGAAGGCAATCAGGTGACACCATGCATGGTAGCCTACATAACTTTGTCTGACTAACCTGTGTCTTTTGTCGCACATACTGTATAGCCTTGATCATGTGGAGCCCCATCTCCACGCAGCAGTGAGCGTGGTCTGGTCGTGCCCGTGGCAGCCCTGACACGCAGTAGTAACAGTCACCTAGCAGCTTGATTCGCAGGCAGTGATTCTCCTGCAAGCACAGGCAACAATGGAGACTTGTGCAGTGTGGACGATAGGTACCAAAGTTCCGGTGGAACTGCCTGCCTCCATCTTCATCATAGAAATTCTACAGTTCTGTAATTCCATGGGCGGTTACCAATGTTTCTCAGTTACATGATGTCTCCAGCTTCAAGGAAATAAGTTTTATAGCATAGTTTCACAAGTGCACATCAACGTTTCAGAGAGAGCCCTGCTGTGTCCATCTTCAGGGTGGAACACAGATACCCCTCTACCAAACATGAGTCACATCTCAGAGGACTATGGTCTAAACGTTTTTCTGGTGTCAAGTATGGACCCTTATGCAAGAGATCTGCTATGCTAGAACAGCAGAAAATAATACCAGAGATGGGGAACTAACCAAATTTTTTTTTTTGCAATCTAGTGAAATTAATGACTGAAATTTATTCGTTCCGCTTCAAGTTACACAGTTACACGGTTACACAGTTACACAGTTACAACATGCAGTCACGATTCTAATATTGAGAAAGTTGCCTCAGGTGGCAATGTTGGGAGACAAATGGTCTTAATGTCATTTGGGACACCAGATGTCCTGAGAGGTTATTCATAATTTTCCCCAGCCACTCCAGGCAAAGAAGAGAAGAGAAAATGTAGCCCTTGCCAAGGACTGAACCTGACCCATCCAGCCCATAGCCCATAACTATGCTAACTGTGCCATCCTAGCTCCTAATTAATCATTGTATTGGGCTATGTATCGTGGGGTACTGACAGTGTTGCTAAAAACGGTACATAGGTAGAACAAGATTATGATAACTAAAGGTAGAGTTGTCCTTGTGCTTAATCAAGCACTGCATCTTGATGACATATGGGGGAGTGGAGATATGGTTCCATACACCTTAGCTTCAGCAATGCATGGAGGCAAGTGGTCACTTTTATGCCTTAGTTCAGGCATGTCCAATGCATCGATTGCGGGACTATTTTTGGTCGATCTCATAAGCCTATAAGGAAACTATACGTGAAAAGCATGTAAATTCACTTGTAATGTAATATGATTATATTCAGATTTTGAAGGGAAAATACATGTTAAAGTAGTCTGTACTTTCAATGTATGTTGCTTTTACAACAAACATCATGTGTTGTGTTATTTTTACAAACATTTTTGCTTAAAGCGAGGTACGATGATAGGAGGGGGTGGTAGATCACTGGCAGTTTTGACACTAAAAAGTCGATCACAACCTGTTTGAAGTTGGACATGCCTGCCTTAGTTGTTTAGCCCCATAGAAATGGACTCATATACCCTCTGGCCACGGAGCTCAGTGGCCCCATAACTGGAGCTAATGATGTAGATGGGGAAAAACTCCTGTCCCTGCCAGGAATCCCAGTGTCCCTTGATGGAGCTATTCCAGCTCCTTGTACAATGTGATACACTATAGGTGGACATACTTACAGCTGCAAGCTTGTCAAATCTTGCAAACAGATCATTCAGAACACGGACCAGCTCCTGGGCACTGCACTGACTTGCCAGGGCTGCCAACAAAACATTCATATTCAATGAGATTTTCTGTACTAAATCCAATTATGTCAAGAGTTGATCCAAAACATGTATAAATAGGGCAGACACGTATAAATGCCCCAAATGTTTGTTAATCGCTTTCTAAAATGATGTAAGATTACTTCACAGGAGGTGATGTAAACTGGATTCATCTGGCTCAGGAGAGGGACAAGGTGTGGGCCCTTATGAACATGGTAATGAACCTTTAGGGTCCATATAAGATGGGGAACATTTTCGTCACATGAGCAACTGAATTCCATTGAGTTGGTGCACAGTTATACTGCTTAGCCTCCATGGCAGCCATCATGACTCTTCCAAGTACAGCAATCAGTTTCGAGGTTGGGGGGTGGGGGGACATAACTGTTTCAAAATTACACTTAAGTCACTGGGAAGCATTTTTACTAATTTTTCTAGAGTATTCCAAGAGGAAGAATATTTACTCGTAGTATTTGGTATATTTACTTCTTTTTTCATTTCAGGTTTTTATAAAAGTTAGGGAAATGGGGGAGGCTACTGACCTGTGAAGCCCTTAATGTCTGCAAACAGAATGCTGACATCCTCATAACGGTGAATGTAGATCTTGTGGAACTGGTTCGGGACAAATGCGCCCTTCTCCTCCTCTTTGGCAATATCTCGAATCATTTCTTTGGCAACAAAGTCAGGCAAAACTGTGGACAATGTTAGTATGAATCACATTTTATGCATCACACACATTTTACTGTGAGCCAAGGACATATCATTGAGGCCTCAACACACAACAAAAGGAGAAACAGTTTAACAACAACACAGATTCTTAACCAATCATATAAAAATGGGGGGAGGGGTAATTATCGCCTTCTGAAGATGGTCACAACTGACCGGAATATGTAAAGGTATATATAAATATATACTGAGTCACACTGGACAGTGTTGTCAAATCATTTTATAATATTTAACTAGTGTCACAAACCAGAATGAATAAAGTTAAATAATGTTCCAATTATCTTGGTTATGTCTCCGCCTCCATACTTGTAGCAACTCATGAACTGCTGATGGATTTTATGAAATCTGATATCTGACATCACAGCCCATTTTCTGTTAAAATCGCACAATAATATTGGATATTTTATATAAATACTTACACATGTTTCTGTGCACGCCTCAAGCATAAAAAGTAAAGTTGTCCTTGTGCTTAATCCATTAAGTACCACTCCATTAAAATGTATGCGAGTGGAGGTAGAGTTCCACTATACTTAACCTCGGCACTAGAGGGAGATGAGTGGTCAGCTTCATGGCATCTTGCGATTAACTTACTAAACATTTATCAGATTGAAAAATGTTTTCAACAAAGGTTGGAGAGCAAAAGGAAGGATGCATATTATACTCAGAATATTTTTTAGTACAACTTGCATTTTCTTTAAATAATTAAATAAAAGTGAGTGTATGCAACAGTTCTCTTGTGTATACATTTTCTATCTTATCCTAACTTCTTATTTTCATATAATTATTTAGCAGCATACCATCTACAATCTTCAAAACTAAATTCCCACTTCTCTGTACACAAATGTATCACTCTGACATAAAATTTGTATTAACGTTTATGTGCAAGGTGCACAAATTTTTCAACTTTTTATGAAGGTATTTTATCATTGTAAATGCTAGTTCATTAGAAGTAGAGAATCTGTGAGTTCACTGATGTTGGACAAAGCATGTGACATCTTGTACAGAGCACTGCATCACAATTGTTAACACAAGTTTATTACACAGCGATGTGGACTAAGTACAAGGGGTAGATGGGTGTGTGCCCTCCCTCCAGAGCCTAAAGGCACCAAGGCTGCCCAAGATACTGTGAATATGTTGAAGAATGACATCGCCTGAATAAGCTGTGTAGAATTAGCATGCAGCATTCGTATGTGACCAAACAGTGTGATGGAAAGCTGGTACCAACATGACAAGTGCAAGAAGACAGTGCAGTGGAGTTCAGTGATGCAGTAAAGAACTAAAACAGAGTGACATCAAGAGTCTATATGACAAAACTGCTCCAAAACAAGATAAATATTATAATATGTATGCAGGATATAACTTCAGTGTATACTGAAACTGAATCTGTACTTATGTTACTGAAAAAGGGAAGTATTATTGTATCTTTCACACACTGTAACTTATTGAGATGTTATTACATATAATTGACTATTTTTAAATGTTATCAGTGGGTCTACTATCCTGAGTGCTGTGTCAGCTTTTCTTCATAAGAACTCTAGTGAATAAATCCTGAAATAACAAAAGCTATGGGGTAACTATTTATTTAATAGCAAAAATGGTTCAATGACTCATTATTTATTCCCGCCTCAGGTTTTGTTTCGCTAATATAAGCAGCTGTATATTATCATGTGCCATTCGTGTGCTTTCAGTAGTGTAGTTGGTTGAGGCACTATGCTACAAGCCGGAAGGTCGCGGGTTCAAGTCCTGATGTCATTGACTTTTTTTCAATTGACCTAATCCTTCTGGCCGCACTATGACCTTGGGGTCGACTCAGCCTCTAACAGAAATGAGTATCAGGAATTAATTAAATAATTTTCCTGGGGAGTAAAGCGCGGCCAGCTTGTAAAGCTGACAACCTTACCATCATCTTTGAGCCAACTGTCTAGATAATGTGGGAACCTCAACGTCTCACAACCCTGTGGGCCTTCACGGCCTGTTACAGGGAAAGCCTTATTTCTTTTTTACTTGTTCTTCCACTAGATGTATTCTGTAACATGCAGACAGAGCAGTACTCGAAAGAACCATGGCAAATAATGTAATGAATCAGGCTTGGATTCTATTGAACTGTCTTCTTTGTAGGTTACTTTATTGTGATGTCAGCAATTGTATTACACAATGTCAAAGTGTAGCATAAATTTCAGTGATGAATTAGAAAGGATTTGGATGGAAGTGGCTGTGGCCTAGTCTGAGGTACAGTCCTGTTATTCTCCTGTAGGGGCTGTGGCAAGGACAAGAGAAATACGTCAGTGAGGATATACTGTAATTTCAAAAAATTAATTCAGAGTTAATACTTCGACGAATTTAGATAAAAAATTTATGTCTTAAAACCATACTTTGGGAGAAAAATGTAATTGATTTGTTCCAAATACGAGCACGATTTTCCTCTGGTGAAAACAGCCTTAAAATTCTTAAGTAGCATGGCCTCTAGTTTATTCTCAGTGTTACTTTAACAGTAGTATTTGGAGGTAGTGATGTCGGTCAACAAATATTGAATTACAGACTCCAATAACTCTGATGTACAGAACACTACACAAGCAATATCCATCTGTTCTGTGCTGGCAGGATGTGAAGCAGTCATAAAGATGATCATGGCTGCATGAGCGAATGTATGTCGTATTAGGGTGGTTGTGATATAGGAAAACCACTGGGTTGGACTAACTGGCAGTATGAAGTGACCACACGGATGACTACACATTTATCAGGGCCCCTCACTGCTACAAAAGAGAAACAGAGACCGCAACAGGAAAGTTAAAACTGTCATATACATCATCCCAGTAACATTCTTCAGTGAAACTGGTTTCTTGTAGGCCTTCTTTTTATATGACAGTATTAATGGAGTGAATCTATTGGCTGTGTTCTGGCGGAAATTTTATGTCTTTGCTATTAGGGCGTTAATGGAAAGGAAAATAAGCATTTTTATTGATGAGTTTAAGACAGTTTTATGAATGGAAATCTAATAGGACTAGACTGTGTTGCGCTGGTACAGTAATAGTTAAACCACGTCCCGAGTTCCTTATAAGGCTTTGTTGGGTTTTGGAATTACACAGAAAGAGGCATGTAAAACAAAATATTTTTTGGATTCTTCCATACATGAGTCACAATTTTTCAAAAATAAATATGTTTCAGAACCCAGAACATAAAGCAATGTACACGTATCCATAGCATAACAACTCTGGTGTGTTTACTCCTTTTCATTTGTTTTGAAAGGACATGCTTCATGCTTCTCCAGAATATGGCGCATTCTGATAAATATTTAGTGAGATACAGTCAAGGTAAACATGATGAAAAACTCTTGAGGGGTTCTTCACTCGTTACAAGCAGGCAGATAATATGGACATGGCAAACTTAACAGGCATATTCTTTGCTTCCTCCCTCGCAAACGCGGCAAGAAAGAAATCCCCTGTTCAAGAACACACTTACCTGACAACAGTAACTTTTCCTGTCTATCATTCTCCTTCTGCGTGCGGCATCTCGTTTCCATGGACCGGTGAGTTTCCAAGAAAGCCTTCCTCTGCCCTCTGTCTGTGAGGTACTTTGTGTACATTCCCGCAAAGTTGACAGCAACGTACAGAATTGTGTTATCTGCCAGACGCTCAGCAATAAAGATGCCCATTGGGGCGTCCAGCTCCTGACAGGGGCAACACACACTGAGACCTGAGGGAACCTCGTTCATTCATTCATTCATTCATTCATTCATTCGTCCTTTCATTTCCTTTATTTTCCATATATCCATACAGGTAAGAAACCTAGGATGTGGAAATGGTCCCTTTGAAAATAGATATATCAAGATACATGTACAAAATTACAAGAGTCACATAATCAGAATAACTTACATTAATCAATTAATGTAAATAATAATATAAAGTAAAAAATTTAACAAGATTTTAATTAATAAACATAATTTAAAAACAACTTACTATAAAACTTTAATTAATATAATTTTATTTAAATTACCGAATCAAATACATTACAAATTTACACACTTATGACCAATTATGTTGATAATATTCATTCATGGAATAAAAAGATATAAAAAATTCTTCAATGCAGATTTAAAACTTCTCTCCTGGGATCTGAGATGTGATTTCAAAGTTTTACTAAACAACATGGCTTCACATCCAAGGGGACAGCTGTCTTGAACACATGCTGCTGTGATGCTACCGCAGGCCTATCCATTTTATGGTTAATTTAATGATGCTGCCAGTAATTTAGACAAAATATGTCAAATGATGAGATGACCAGAATAATAAATACTGAATTGAAGGGACCTAGAAATAAACAATTGTGGCTTAATTTCAGGAAATACCATGGCGTTTGTCTGGGAAGACTGAACAAATTCTAAGTCAGGACTGGCAGTCTCTGGGAAGAGATCTGAACCTGGAACCTCCAAAGTATGAAGCAGGGGTGCCACCCACTTAACTACAATGTTCAGTGAAATGCATTTGACATTTTGTAGACGTAACCTTGGGGGGTTGGGGGGGTCTGCAAATGATACTGTACCTGTGGGGTGGCGATGTGTTTCAGGCTGGTGTACAACACGTGGAACAGAGCCGTAGTACATCCTAGGATCATGCAAGTTCGCAGTGGCAGGGGCAACATTGTGTATGTCACAAAAACAATGAATAGGAAGTACCACACGAGACATACACCACCTCCGTTGCCATTCTCAAATCCAATCCCTGCTCCGAAGATACCTGTTGGGATCACAACATACCAGGTGTATCACATACTCCAAGAACTTGCTTCATAAAGTCTACAGTGTCAGAAATAGACTCACTGGGGTCAGAGATACACAGAATCATTGAAAAGGTATCAAATAACTGTCACAGAAGTGATTCTTGTTTTAATCAAATGAAGTGTGAAATGTAAGCTTAGTATAAAACTCCGGCACATCTGCCTTTTTGTTTAAGTAACACATAAACCTCAAGGTTATAAAAATTTATACTGGGCATAAAATATATTTCATTTCCTCTACAACTTCTGTTCAAACCATTTTTAGCTCTAATAAATTATATTTCAAACATAAGTTGATAAAATATTTCATAGATAGCATTGTGTAGGTTCATTGTTAAGTATATTTTTAAATTTCTAATCATATTTTAGGCCATTTTCCTAGGTCACAGGGCCCCCCCACCCCAAATTTTTTTATTCACATCAGGGAGCCTCGCACTAAAAGTGCTTGGGGTCCAGTGCTCTATACAACCACAAGTTGTACAGCTGTGGAATTTGAGGGCTCTCTGCATCTGCTGGCCTTTTCATAGCGATTTACGTGTAAACATATTTTTAATGTTTTTCCCTTAAAAGATCATCGTTTTAAATGTATCTAAATTTGACAAAACTAGTGCTGCTTAGACAGAACTTAAAATCCCCATCCAAATGAGATATGGGAATGAAGAAAGGAGAGTGAATGAGGAAAGTAAAGAAAGAAAGTAGGAAATAAATGAAAATATGGATAAAAGGAGAAAAACAAACTATAAATTAAAAAGAACAACAATAGATAGAAATTAAAGGAACAGAAATAATAGAAAAGAAGATATGAAGCAGGAAAGAGCCAGAGAAAGATACAAGTGAGAAAAGGACAGGAAAGGATAGGAAATGATAAAGCAGAAAGAGGCAGAGCAGAGAAGGGAAGACACACAGTGAGACGGTACCCTGCGCGATGAGCAGAAGCCAAGTGGTGCCGGCCGCCCAGTGTAGGTAGTTGTTGGCAAAGCAACGCCACCAGCCCAGGAAGCAGATGGCAAAGTTGGCAGTCATGGTGCATACCGTCCATGTAACTTGCTCTGGGTGCTTCAGGAGGTCGTCCGTCGTGTTCAGCGCCCACACCTGAACAGCACAGAGAGGTGTGTTCAGCTGGGGATGGGAACAGAGGCTGGGAGCAAGGACTGACAAGAGAGGAGTGCAGGGACGTACAACATCAGCCAGTAGGTCACAACCATACAAAACAATGTATAGGTTCCATTCATTATATGGGTTTTGTTCATAGCGTCAGATGATTCAGTCACCAGTGAATAATGGAAGGAAGCTTATCATTGCCTGATTTAATGTGTTGTGCCAGCATATATTTGAGGGACTGAGGATAACCATGAATTACCTCAGGGAGGGTAGTCAGTGTCTCAGGCACATTTTGGCTGGGAACCTTCCAAACAGAAATCAGAGCATTACCTTTGAGCTGACCTGATCTGTAACAGCAGAAGGAATGGCATTCTGGCAGTGTCTGCTCAAAGCTAATGCTGGATCATAAAACTGGTCACTAACAAAAACTCAGTTTAATATATTTTACATTAAGATATCCACTACATCTTTGAGCCGCTGTTTTTTAATATCATCAGCTGAATATTCGAATATACAATACTTACATAAATTCAATACATTTATTAACAGTTTACTTCGTTCTGCTGTGTCGTGGAGTTTGTGACTGCAGCATACTTCGTATGTCCTAACTGTGAAGCAACATAACTGAACTTCTGATTGAAATGACTGGAAACTTTCCTTTCGTACATTTACGCCCCTGTAATTCCTTCACTCACACTGCCAGTAATATCTCAGCTATCCGCAACTAGTTCTGTTTACCAAGCCGCATATGTGTTACACTACTGGTTGCTATACATGTCTAATATTCAGCAGTATATTTTGAATATTGTATATTCGAATTTCCACCTGACAGTGACCAAAAAGTGGTAGAAACACACAGTTGACAGGTTACTGTAGATGTACGGGGAAATGGATGTGTAGATTTACATATTCTCAACATCGACACTAGCTGGAGGATAGTGGCCAGCTTCATGCAGAAAGAACCCCCGATACCTGTCAGACAGAAGGTCGGGTGGACACCAGAATCGGTCTATTACTGTGAAAACATAAAACCGAACGTTTCGTGCTAGCAGCTTCTGTCAGTGTCCTGCAACGTAAATATAATAACACACATGGGGATGCATCGTTACAGTCACAGCGTTAGTTCACGACTGGCGGTTTACCGCCAATCAGTTCGTCTTGGCGTCAAGCCCCTTGAGACTCACAATCAGAGTTCTTTATTTTGTCTACTGAACCCTTGCAGTAATAGTCCTTATGTAACATCCTCTCTGACGAGAAAGCGGGTTTGTCTCTTATGAATATGCTTGGCCTTGTCAAGTGTACGTATCGCACTTACAGCAAGTTATGGAAATTCTTCCTTTTGCACTATACAAAACATCTTACATGTGAATCGTTACAATATGAGGTATTAAACATTTAAACATTCGGCTCCTGCCTCCAAGAAAACACAAAGAATGTACGTAATGTGTTACCGTGGCAAGGACAATCTTGAGCAGTGAGTCAACGAGGTTCACAATGATCAGAGACTTCTGCCTCTGGCGGTGAGAGTAGCGCTGGTAGGCGAGCTCCAGGTGGTCTTCCCTGAAGCTGTTGGACAGAGAGGGGCAGTACACCCCCCGGTACACAATCCCACGCTTGAACACCTGCCCCCCATCCACGTCCTCTGCACCCCCAGCCACCACTGCTGCCTCATTCAAAGTTGGTGCTGTTTGTTCATCCCTCGGCGCTGAAAGCAGGACATGATGAACAGGAGTGACACAGGCAGGAAGCAGCCATATTATTCAGGCACTCCTTATGAGAAACTTGGGGACAGCAAGTGCCCTTGGTGTGCATCTGTCCATGTGAAATGTGTCCACGCTTGAGGCCAAACTACTCGGTGGCAAACCTAACCATCCTCCCAATGGGAGTTGAGAGTTCCCACTTTACCACATTCAAAATATGGCTTCAGTGACTGTGAACACCAACACTTTTAACACCCCTAGCATCCCTTCCATGAAATACTCAAAGCCATTTTCAATGTGATGGGGACAGTCTCCACTGGGAATCGACCCACGGGTCCTCTCTGACATGCAGGACAACATGCACGAAGCAGATCGGGTTACATAACCAGTCTGGGCTTGTGATATAGAACTGCAGGCAAGGAGCAACTGCATGCTCCCTCTGTGTGTGGGGAGAGACAAGAACTTTCAAAATGATTCATTGACTTCAATTAAATTTGGCCAGAATAATAAGTTTTCGACTTCGCTTCGCCACCATACCTTCAGCAACTACTCAGTTTAACACTCGAGTGAATTTACATGAAATCCAGACTGCGGTCACCGATAACAGGGCGCTAAGAATATCTGGACCTAAGAGAGTTGGAGAAAACGGCATAAACTGGAGCTTCATAATGTGTACTCCTCAGAAATATTACTAGAATGATCATCTCTAGGAGGATGAGATGGACAGGGCATGTAGCATGGGAGAGAAGTGCTTATGAAGATCTGATAGGACAGAGACCTCTAGGAAGACCTAGGTCTAGATAGGAGTATAATATTAAAGTTGACCTTAAAGGAATGGGAAGGGAAGGCGTGGATTGGATCCGTATGTTCCAGGGCAGGGACAAGTGGCGGGATCCTGTGGGCACAGTAACGAACCTTCAGATTCCACAAAATTCTGGTCATTTCTTAAGGTGAGCAACAGCGTGGGGTTAATTGGTTAGATCATATGTTGTGTACTGTTCTGGAATATGACAGTGTGCATGTTGTCCGGTAGGGGAGCAACGTGCGGTTTCCACTTCCAGTCGGCTCATTTTGAAAGAGACAACATGGCGGCGGCGTGGAGACGGAGAACTGCCAGTGTCTGACACGCGATAACATGTCTGTTAAGTGAAGAGACCACCTAAATCAGTCACATCACACAAGACATGATGAGCTCCAAAATCCTCGTGTATTTAGCAAGGGCACTAACGTCAGAGTTGCATTAATCCCCAACTTACATGCTTCATTTGTTCCAAAGACTTTTCCATGCTAGCTGAAAACCATGCAATTACAGCAATGCTCGAACGCGATATATCTGTTGACAGAGAGCTCGGAAAGTAGTGCTTATAAAAACAAAACGTTAAGAAAATAAAAATTGATTTAGTATGTATCTACATTATATATACAGGAACAAAAATTATGAAAACTGCCTGAAAAGAAATTTCAAAGTAAACACATAATACCGCATGTATATATGTGCAATAGCACACCATATTGCAGGTGTAATACATAGAACTTGTACATTCGACACTAATGACCGTAGAAACCAAGTACCTAAACTGTGAACTGATTCGTGTAACTTGAACCCATATAAGTTGAGAACTCTCTGTACTTAAGTTCTGGGGTGTAGTTTACAGAAGAACACTCTGTATGCAAACACCCGGTATGTATATATCGCTATGCTACTTAATTGTGTCTTTGGGTGCGGACAAGACATGTTACCAGTGTGAGTGTCGTCATCAGGTTTTCCAGAAGCGACGCTCACTTTCGCGAGAGGGCTTCTTTCGCCATCGTCGCCCTTAGTGACGCCATCACGTTGTTCAGATACAGGTGAAGCGGCGTCGCTGGCGCCGGGCTGCACGGCAGGGATCAACTTGGTTTCTGAGGTCAAGGATTCCAGCAGTGCTGCACTTCGCTGGTTGGTGATTTTCCTGACGGCGCGCACCCAGAGGTGCCGGCGTCGGGCCGGGCCGTTGAGCGCCCTGCAACAAGACCCTTATGAATATGACAAGGAGAAGGGAGATGACGCTGGGTGTCGGACTGTATCCAGGGTCCGAGCGGTTCTCACTAGACACTGCATCCAAATGACATTTCATGGGTTCTGTCCGTACCTCACAGGGAACACATTACGTTATTGCTACGAAGCCCAGGCGGTTAATGCTGTTTAGTGTGAGAATCATACCAAACATAAGCGTGTGGGCGTGGGCGTGGGGGAAAATGACAGCAATTTTCAATGGAAACTCAGATGGTATACATAGGTACCACTCAGCCCACTATCCCATGGATACAGAGGTAGGGCGGCCGTACCTCCATTCACAGCAGGGGTGACGTTGCTCATTTCGCTGTTCCGCTAATGACGGTGTCCGTATCTGTCAATATAACGTGTATAACGTGGAAGGGCGGGATGACTGATGAATAACAAATTGTAAAATATTTTTAAATAAATTGTCGTGACCTAATGGAGATACCACCCCAGTAGTTTGCTTCGAGGATTTGAGAAAAATACGAAAATCCCCCAGAGAATATAGCTGATGTTCTGGCCGGGATTCGAACCGAGCATCTATTCGGTGTGTCGAGGGTAGGAATGTGCTGAAACACGCGCACTCCCCATACGGAACTTCATTAAGCGTCGGACAGCTAAGTCAATAGTTCAGACCAGGAAGGTACTCGCTGCGCTCCATGGAACAGAGCACAGACGCACTAAACCAGTGCGCCCTAAGTACCTAAGTTAAATAAAACTTACATATTAAGCACAACTTCACACCACTGTTAACATAATATTCATGAAGCTTCTGTGTGACTGGCAGCGCACATCGCGTGTGAAACACTGGAACACGTCAGGAACAAGAGCAAAGTTCAACATGACAAGAGTGTGCGAGCCCTGGGGATCGGAACACTTACGCAAAATAGGAGGCTAAGTAAGGATGAAACAGATGTGCATCCCTCCCACAGACCCTCTCTGGGCCACATGAACGCAACAAAAGGTGAACGGTTCTTCTAAACTAAACAGTATTTAGAGATTCACTTCCCACCTCACAAAAAACACTCTGTGGCTCCATTAAGAAGACTAACCCTATGAATGCTATTTAGAAAACTAATTCTTGTTTAGAATCGATACTACACCGCAGGGGAAAATGCTTCGTTTTTTATACGTTAAAGCAGGTGGTAAATATAGCGCCCCGCTACCAGGTGCAGGGACGCCTCACCAGTCGCGCACAGTAAACGGATGCTTCAAATACCGAAAAGCACTTCAGACAGTAAAACTGTGCGTGCGTGCAGCGAGAGGCAGAGTTCAGTAAATATTTAGACTGTCCGCGCTTCAAACACAGAAGCAGCAAATGCCACAATAAAACATAAGGGGTGTAAATCCAGTGAAAGTTTCTCATGCGCGTTGTCTGTATATGCTCCTGCAGCACCTCAGCACCTGCCCGCCCGCTTTAACGTGCTGCCGTCACAGCCAATCACTTCCAACTAATATTGTCACGTGACTGAGTGACTATAGGTGGGGTTTGGGATGGTAACAGGATTTACTCAACACTTACACAACGAAACGACAGGCTCAGCGGGTTACTCACTCCAAAGGCAGGCGTTCCTCTTCCTCTGGGTTCCCGAACGTTTCCTAGCCTCAGCTACCAGCTTCTCGCTTCTCACAAGTCAAAGTCAAAGTTTAGTTACGACAGACGGTTAGTCGACAAGCCCCGTCTGGGGCCCAACACCAGATTTTTGTTACTTCCAGACAGTTAGCGGCCTCCGTAGTCTACAGGTAACGTTCCCACCTCATGACTCGTGGTACGCGGATTCAAACCCGGCGGAGGTCGTGGAATTTTTAAGGGCGGAAAAATTCAGGGAACAAGTCCTCCGGGAGGGACTTTAAGCCGTGGGTCCCGTGTCGTAGCTTTACGGCACGTAAAAGAACCTCGTATCTCCAAAGGAGGTCACTGAGCCAAATTATCGGACATTTCCCGCCCAACAGTAGTCTCTAACGCCTCTGATAGATGGGGGGAAGCATTATAGATACCGCCAAGCCAGTAGAGGCCGAACTCGCTGGCTCGGTTGGGACTGATGGTACGCACCAATATCGGTAGGGTATAGAGACTGGTAGAATATCATAGAGGGAAGCACAATGGACCAATACTGGTCTAAGTGCATGAAGAAACCCACCCTCTCTAATAACTAACTAACTAACTAACTAACTACTTCCAGACAGATGCGGGTTTGCTGATGTGGGACGCCCTTTCTTACGAGAGGACAGGTCTCTCTTTTACAATTGCTGCTGATCCTCGCTGGCGAGTCATTCTCGGGTCCAAGTCATGCGAGACATGGTGGCCCAGTTGTACCCCCAGGCACTGGGCTCCCTTTTCGTCGCTTCTCATTACTCGCAGGCCTAGTGTGGAGGAATTCGAACCCACCTCCACACGGAGGCACTGTAAGTCTCCATCAAATATAGCTCCGGCACGGACCGCACAGAAAATCTCTCTTCCGTTACTGGCTGTTCTCTCGGTGTCGGAAAAACGTGTCTACAGAGCTGTTTGTTCCCTAGCAACGGCTGTCTACATGGGTCTACATGTCATATTATTTAAAGATTTAGCTCCTACCTCACAGTGAACACTCCGTCCCCATTACAAAGACCAACCAGTTAACGCGATATAAGGAAATAACGGCGCTTTATTGCAGGAATCACATATTGTGGGCAAACTGGCCAGTTTTTATATGCTAAAGCACTGGTACATATAGTTACCACTGTGCTTCACACTGAGTACTTCACTGAGAGTACTTCATTTGGTGCGTTCCCTCACGACTGAGCCCTTGACTACGCAGTAACGAAAGTGATGCAAGTGTGCCGGACGAGATGCTGAACGTGACTCCAGACTGGGTCAGTGACGGGATGCAATCCCAGCGCCTGAAGGAGCACTGAGACACGAGCATCGCCCACAAATGTTCCGCCTCTGAACTCAGGTGTCGGCTCCTCTCGGCATAACCCGTACAAGAATAATATAAAGCTAAAATTGATCCCATGTTTGACTGAGCACCACACCATGATGACGTATGGGGGAGTGGGAGTATAGCTCCACGTATTGTTAACTTCAGCACTAGCTGAAGATGAGTGGTTAGCTTCTCGCCCCGGCCGCTTTACCTCCAGAGAGGCATAAGGACAATGTATAGGCCCAAAACCTCCGTGTGGACAATGTGGAGAAAATATCTCTCGAACTTGCCAGAAAACAAACGCCGGTTCCTTTGTCGTCCCGTTCCTATCCTATTATTACTTATAGTCGGGGCGCCGTATAGTGATCGTTTTTTAGAATTAATCGGTTGCCAAGCAACGAAACAACAAAGAACTGCGTCGCGTCATGGGCTGCAGAGATAAGCGGAGAGCTGCAATTCTACACACGCGTTGTCTGGTTGGGGCGCCCAACAAACGTATTTCGGGGAGTGAAGGGGGACATAATGAATAAATCTTGACCCTATAAACAAGAACTTGAGCATATAACTTTCCTGTCACGCGAGTTCCGTGGTTTATTGGGAAATATCCAAACAAAGCTACTTGCCACTTCCTTGAATACGAAGTGCTGTGGGGTTTATCTGGGTTTGAGAGGGCTGAGATCGGAGTGAAACTGCTGCTAGCTATGTGTACAGCATCTCTGCGAGCATGCTAAGCTTACATGACGACACCTCTGCTGTGGAGAGTACCGTTTCCCTTCGGACGCTGAGAGTAAGCTTTCTGAAGACGCGCCCGCAAACGAGTTTTCAGACTCCAAATACTCTAGCAATCACATCAAACCAAGAGATAGTTCACAATTCTAATCGCAAACCTTCTAGGAAAGGTGACCATTGTTCAACGGCTCTATTTCAACTACACAGGTCAGAAAGCTCGGATGAGGCGCTAGTTGATAGTAAATTGTCAGCTGATTTGGAACAAGACGGACGTGACCTATTTCAGGACATTTCGCGACTGAGAAAACTCAAGGAAAACTCCCCCCTTTAATACAAATGGACATTCGAATGAAGTATATCCCGAATATAGCGCCAGGGCGTGACCGCTACATCCGGCTGTTAGGGTGGACGTTGCAGACACAGGCGTTAAACATACGAACCCTTTAAAGCACACTCACTCACGGAGCTGGGCCCTTCTTGAGAAGCCGCCAGTTGTGCAGCGACTCAACTTCCCAGCATTTTATGGAACCAGAAGGTTCATTACCGTGTTCACAAAAGCCCTCTACTGGTCTCTATCCTGAGCCAAATCAGTCCAGTCCATACCACGCCATCCTCTCTCTAAGATCCATTGTAATATTGTCCAACCACTTACGTCTTGGTTTTCTCAGTGGTCTTTTCCTTCTGACTTTCCCACAAATAACCTATATGCGTTCCTCTTCTCACAATTCGTGCTACATGCCCTGCCCATCTCATCCTCCTTGAATTTTCATTCTCATTATACTTGGCGAAGAGTACAAGTTATGAAGCTCCCCATTCTTTAAAGCAACTGGCAAATATATGTACCCCCGGCTGTAATATAAACATGTGCATTTTGACTGCGCGCCTTTAGGAACTCGAGGTTCCAGCATTCAAGGCGAATTCCAACGGTGCGGATTCAGAGAATGGAAAATATTGAAATTGAGTCTCGTGACAGAGCTCTTACAGTGACTGTCATTACAGGTGGACCGACATGTAGCATGCAGTTAGTATCAATATCAGCCGATATTTGCCTCAGAGCCCTCGTTTCTCTGGCCGCGTGTTCTGCTGAGTTACCTCAGCGTCATACCTCCGTTGCCCAGCAATTTGCTGTAGATCTCGCAGTCCCCCAGATTCCTGTCGGCATCAACAGACTGGGTCAAAGATGTGACCATCGGACCCGCCTCGCAAACTCCCGGCTTCCGGACTGGCATAGCTCAGAAAGTACGTGTGGGGTGCCTCAGTTCTGAAGCAGGAGGCAGTCTGCCCCCCTGGCCAAAACCAGCCGGAGGAATCAAATGGAACTTCCATTTAAACATTTTCGAAGTCGAAATTATGTTGCGTCTGACGGTTAGTTTGGTGTGAAGCACCCAACTGAGGCCAAAGACCAGACTTCTATTACTATATGACAGATGTATGTTTGTTGATGTGGGACGCCCTTTCTGACGAGAGGACGGGCCTGTCTTTTACAATTGCTGTTGGATTTCGCCAGCGCAGTCATTCTCGGCTCTGAGTCCCGTGGGACTCATGACCAAATTTTAACAAAAAATTTAACATTTTCAAGTTCATCTGCAAAATATACACATGACTCACACCCACACCGCACAAGAAACACGAAGAGCAGCTGGCGAAACAATAAATATACTGTGTGTTAAAGCGGGTGGTACATATAGGTACCACTGCGCTATAAACGGTTAACGGCCTTCCTACCTCGATAAATTCAATCTTGGGACATACCTCCCTCAAGCCGACATGTGAAGGTAAATTTAGTGGGCAGATATTTCCGCCCTGACGGCTGGACAATGTGATGACCCGTTAATTGCAAACCTTCCCGCCGCCCCCACCTACTTGTTGACAGAGCAGTCCTTGTGACGAGCTTCTGATAATTACGTAAAACGCGCGTTACTGAACGTTCCCGCCAATATTCCTGTAACAAGGCCCACTGCGCTGTGAGACGTCGAGGCTCCCACACTTTCTAGCGGGATAGCTCAGTTAGTATAGTGACTGGCAACGGGCTGAGGGGTCGCATTTCGAGTTACCGGTAAGGTCAAGGACATCCTCTTCTCCACAGCACCCAGATGGGTTCTGAGGCCCACCCAGCCTCCAATCCAATGGATACCGGGGGGGTAAAGCGGCCGGGACGTGAAACTTTCACCTAGTTCCGAGGTCAAGAAAACGTGGGTGTACACATCCACTCCTCCATACGTCTTCGTGGCGTAGTGCTTACTTATCTAAGCACGGGGACAATTTTGTTTTTACCCACCACTACAGGATGGTCCGGAAATTACCGATCAGTCGTCATAGCCGCAGATCATAAAGGCAAGTTGCAAAATGTCTGTTCGTCTGTCCGCCAGTGAAGGGCACACCACGGAAAGTCGGTTCACTCTCCACTCCCTCTCTTTCTCTGCGTTCTCTCCTCCTGCCACACCTTGCGTTAGGGAGGGAGAGACTCCATTTTACAAGGAATAGAAAAATGCTTCCTGCTTTGCAGGTTCACAGGCAGTCCCCACTTGTCCTAGTAAAAGAACGTGAAGCATTCGGAAGACACAGGGTAGAGGTTTCGGAAGTGGAGTTTTGATGTTAACATCGCAATAGCTGCTCTGTGACCGGGAGAGGGGGAAACCCCAGGATGCAGAGACATGCAGGATTTCAATGTTTCTGTAGGTCCCGCGGGCCCCCTTACTTGTATGAACTGGCACTTGACGTCTATCAAGTCGCTAAGCAGACGGGGGACCTTGGTTTGCTCCCCGCCGTCGAGGTGAGTACGTTCCCTCCGACCAAGCAGTGCAGCTCATGCACAAGTTGGATTGTTCTGGAACACGGGCTTCCGCTTTCCACATCGAAAATTATCCCGCAAATTAATTAAATATCCACAAAGTGTGCGTGGGAGGGAGAACCTAATTCTGATGATTCGTAAACGCCCCAAATTATAGGCATGTTTAATCGCTTGCAGTTGCTCTGCGGGGTTCAGAGCAGGAAATCGGGGCCATCACAAGTCGAGCCGAGAGGGTCCAGTAGATCCCGGGGCTCACGGCTTCCCGCCTTACGCGGGAACACGTGACTTTCGTCGGTTTTGAACCAATAGGAATGCCAACATTCGATGAAGGGGTGGGGAACTCGGTTCGAATCCAGCCAGATGGCAATGAGGAATTTGTGTTAGCGTCGGACACCACTGCGTCGCTGGCACCAATAGTGGATAAAGTGACGCGAGGGAGAAATCGAGCACCTCACTACGCCTCGTCGCTTCTGCGCATTAAGTAACTCGCTGTTAAGGGTATAAGCACATTCCCCACTGAAGTGAATCGCTGTGGCTGGGCGTGCTTCCCAGTTGATGCGACCCTGGGGCAGTCACGCCTTCACCAGCCGAGTTACATAACCTGACCCATCCACACCTCAGCCAACGCCGCCCAACCAGGAGGTCGGGGTGACTTGGACGGTTTTATACGTTGATATTATGACGCTCAGAGCATGTTAAATAATGCGGCTTGAATTCCGGCTGACACAGCTGTCCGTTCGGGCGAACGCCTGGATGCATGGTCACCAGAGAAGGAAGGACCATGAAGTCGGGACTTCGTCACAAAGCGGAGGCTGCGCAGTTCGCCGTACGTGCGGGACATTTGTGTGAATCGTTCGAAAAACGTTCTCAGTTTTAATGGGCACACTGTACAATCATATACATGTACATACATTTACTGTGGGGTGTGCTGCAGGCTGCCTGTACTCACACTTCCTTACAAGTCGGCACACTGTACAATCATATACATGTACATACATTTACTGTGGGGTGTGCTGCAGGCTGCCTGTACTCACACTTCCTTACAAAACTAAAAAACCTCTTCCTCGATTCTGTACAGCCGCAGTTTATACGGCAGTTTATCGTCGTACATAAATCTCTTGATGACGTCATAATCCAGCCTGACGCAGTCTGCGGCCCTGACGACACTGGCGAAGTCCTTGGACTGGCTGTACACGAGGTTGCCCACGATCAGCTTCTGGTGCCCCCTTTCTGTGGACAGCTCAAACTCATACCGGAAGTTTGTGGCGTTCTCCTTGGGACCGATGTACTGAACCGCAGAATAGAACTTGCTGTCCTGCACTCTGCTCTTCTGCAGAAATACTTGTTCGAAGGCGAATATGACGAGGGAATATCCCGGAGTGTTGCTGACACCGTTCAGAACGCTTGTGGACTCGGCCCCAATTCTCACGTACCGCCTGTGTGCCTCCATTACGTGTTTCTGAATTTGAAGCAGGGGGCCCTTCCACGTGCAGTGTGCGCCCTGTGCCAAGGGACATTCAAACGGACGCCGAGGGCACTCAGCCAGGTGCTGGGCGATCGTATCCAGGCGACACATCTCTAAGCATCCTTCATTTCGGCACGGGAAGTCGATATCCTCTGCGATGCTTTCTAGGGCGATGTTCCTTGTGTTGGGGAGGAAAGGACGGCGGCACGCTGGGCACGCGGGCAGCTGGGGTCTGCACAGCTCGCAGATGCTGTGCCCATTCTCACACAGAAAGATCGGAGGTGCCATGTACTCCATGCAAACGGGGCACTCCAGGGCGCTGAGGATGTCCTCACGCAGCTCCTGATCGCCGGCGAAAACACTGTCATCTGGATCGTCGTCGTCCAACTTTATAAGGTCATCTGCAGAACTGCGACAGACGTCACTTGCGCGGTCGAGTTCGGCCATTGCGTTGCTGTGAAGCAGAGAGGGGAACATGATCAGGTGCCATATCTGCGCATTTCTGATATCTTATCACTCTGACATGCGGCTAATTGCAATCGGACGGTTCTACTTGCTCTGAGCCATCCACTTCTTATGGGAACACTTTTTCTATATTTCTATATTTCTATATTTTCTATATTTCTGCATTCTATATTGAGAGAGATACAGAAAAGACGCTGATAAAAAACCCGCCGTTTATGTGGGCTCACATGAAAGAGGATTATATCGGAGCTAAGCTTCGTGCTTTGCGACACAAGAGGAGGGACACAGTGTGTTCAAGAACGTCAGTCAACACGATACCCTGTTTCTACCTTACGAATAGTACTATGTACCGTGAAATGTCGCCGTGTAGATTGGTAGAGGAGGAACTCTTAACTTGGTGGCAACGGGTTCCTATGTAATTTTGTTCTCATTTGGTTATTCAGCGACGTTTTCGGCCCCGAAATTGCGTGGTGCCGACTGGCACGAGTTCCAATGAATATTATACTGAAATTTGCCTCGAGGGACTGAGGACAACCACAAAAAGCACCAGCAACGACAGCTACCGTCCGAGCCGAACACTTCGCGAGTAACGAGTCCACAGTCACCCCTACGCCAACCCGTTCGGTTTCTTCGAAGTATTGGTAGATATCTACCAGACAGTATTGCGTCACGCCAAAAAAATACGGTAGGAACATCGAATTCACTCCGTGGTTACATAAACGCGGGCTGCTGTGAGCATGGGTGCCATACAGGCCAGAGCACGTAATGACTACAGTCTGTTTCATCTCGTACAAGCCACGGGTCAGTCCCTGCATCACCACGCGATATCCTGCCACACGGACACAGAACAGAGATCTACTTTGAGCGCTTCTTCCGCGTCTGCGACCGCGTGCCTCACGAAGATTAGAGACATGTTTAGACAAAAGAAAAGTGACACATTTGAGCCGTTCGGAGCTAAGAATGATGTAATGCTCAGGGACACCACGTGATCTGAATTTCCACAGCGGTGAACAGAGAACAGCAGAGCTTATAACATAGCCCTTCAAGTCAATTCTTCCGGTTTGCCTAACGATGATAACATTAATTCGGACATTGCTGTGCTGGGTGACTGTGTGACAGAGCAATGAACTGCAAGGACAGAAGGAAGAGGTTCCGACTTCACTTAAGGAACTGTCCAGGCATTTTGCCTTGAGGTACTCATTGTCCTGGCCCCTCCCGAACATAATTCAAAAGTCTTACCGCTTCAACCAGATTACTCTGTTAAGGCACAGCGGTAAAGACATGCACCACCTGCCTTAACATACTGCATTCTGCCCACAGAGTGCATCTGTGTGTTCTGTGTGGCTCTCGCAGTAAACAGCGACTGTTTCCCTACACAGCATTAACCGGTTGGGCTCTGTAGCGGAGACGTAATGTTTCCTGTGAGGTACGGACTGAACATACTAAAACTCTGCATTCTGCCCACAGAGTGTATCTGTGTGTTCCGTATGGTTCTCACACTAAACAGCGACTGTTTCCCTAAACAGCATTAACCGGTTTGGCTCTCTAGCGGAACCGTAATGTGTTTAACACCCGTGTGGAGACGGGGTCGAATATCTCCACCGTAGGCCAGTGCCTGGGGGTATGACCGAGCCACCCTGTTCCCGGGGGACCTCGCCCTCCAGGTTGGGGGAGTCTCAAATCATGAGTCCCGCGGGACTCGAACCTGAGAAAGACTGCGCTGGCGAGGACCAGCAGCAATTATAAACGACAGACCCATCCTCTCGTCAGAGAGGATGTTGAATATGAACCATGACAGCAAGTGTTCAGCTGGAAAATAAAAATACTGGTCTTGGGTCTCAAGGGGCTTGCCGCATAGACGAACTGATTAGCGGTAAACCGTCAGTCGTAAAGTGACTCTGACTGTGTGTGAGGCTTTAACCCTTTGGAACCCGAAAGTGACAAGACACAAGAGAAGTTGTCCGCGGAGTAGTTGCAACTGCCATGAAGCATGGCCAATACCGGGGCCAACACTGGCTTCTGCCAGTTACAAGAAGCGACTACCTTATTTAGTTGTGGCCTTTCACCACATCGCACCATGTACATTAATAAGCCTAAATGTAAACATTCTGTCTTCTTCTATGTCAAAGTCAAAGTTGCATTACGACCGACGGTCAGTCGATAAGTCTGTCTTGATGTCAAGCCCCATCTGGGGCCCAAGACCAGATTTTTGTTAACGACAGACAGTTCCGAATTTGTTTAAATGGGGCTCCCATTCTGACGAGAAGTCGGGTCTGTCGTTTACAATTGCTGCTGGCCATCGCCAGGGCAGTTACTCTCGGGTTCGAGTCCCGCGGGACCCATGATTTCAGAATACCCCAGCCTGAAGGGCCAGATCCCCGTATTTATGTCTCCCAGGAACAGACTGGCCCAGTTATACACCTCTAGGCCCCGAATTCTCTTTAACAGTATATAAACATTCAGTCCGTACCTCACAGGGAACACTGCGTATCCATAACAACGACCAACCGGTTAATGCTGTTTCGGGAAATAACCGCCTTTTATTGTCAGAACCATACAGAACACATGAATCCACCTCAAGGGCAAAATGCAGAGTTTCTTAAATGTTAAAGTGAGTGGTACATATAGTTACCAGTGTGTCTTAAAGGGCTGAAAGTCCAAATGATATGACGATATAAATGTGGCCAGTTTAACCTACAGGGAACCAAGTTAACTTTCTGAATTTCATTTCGTGGGCCAAATAACACCCATGTACTATAACCGTCCGCTATCTTAGTTAAATTATCCTGCCTTGTGGATACTAGAATGCTAATTGTCCAAGCTCATTCTGCTGCAGAGCGGCAATGTTTCCAATGACTACAGTGTTGCCAAGTTGCCAACACACTCTGACAACAGTGGGCAAGCAGTGCTGTACTTCGGCTCCTCACGACCAGCTGCTCCACCCTGTGTTCACATAGTTTTGAGGCTGTCTGTCCCCAGCGGTTCCACGTTAGCAAACTGGTCGCTCAGCCGTGCTCAAAGGCACAAGGGAACAAGAGCAGATCACGCCTGCATCTGCACGATTATGCTGCCCGCCTAGCATGTGTGTCACAGCCGCTGCCGCACTAGCACGGCGCTTAAGGACAGACACTTTCTCATTTGCGTCTCTCTGCATGCCCATGTTCTCGCTTCTGTATCAAGTTCAAACAGGGTCTGATTCCTTCAGTTCATGCCATTTGCTCAGAGTTACTAGCAACCGTTTTCGCAAGGATATAAAACTAAATTGCGTTGTAATGGTGTGCGTAAACATTAGCTGAAAATATTCCTTACAAATTGCGTGTCTTGTTTAGACCTCCCCTGAATGTTCCGCGTGACGAGATGACACAAATATTTCGCCATGCAGCACTCTGAAGAAAGCATGGAGTTCACTTGCACTACAGAACACTCGTCAGCAACAGCAAGGACTACCCTATATTTCCACACATGCTCACAAGAAACTGGAAGGATACTTCTGCGAACAACTTAACAACAAGAGCACTTACCGTCAGGGTTCGCTGATGTTCCTCTTCTTACGGCTTGACACCGATGCGATGCTCCGGCACTCCCAAAACTGCTCACAGCGAACTCTAGCACAGCAAACGAGATAACAAGCCCCCTCCCCAGGTATGGCGTTGCGTAGGCTGACGTGGCGGCTCTAACACGGCCGCAGGGACATGACTGTTCTGACTTGGAGGTTCTCACAGCGGCTGTCACCAACAGTTCAGTCTTCTCCGACAAAACGGCGCGCAATGCGTTGAAATTACGCCGACGTTTCAGATGAATACATCGTCTCCGTAGTCACCGTCGAAGTATTAGCCAAGCAAGAAAACAGATGACAGACGCAACATATTCCTCCTGAAACGTCGGTCGACTTTCTACTTCGCTAAATAAATCACAAACAAAAAATATCTGAAATCCTACATGAAGTTCCCTTTTGGGTCAAGGGACCGCGCAGTGCGGCAGGGGTACCAGCATGCTTCCACCCTGAAGAAGGCAGTGTGTCTTGTTGGATTCGATGTTCTCATGGCGGTGAACATGAACACTACGGTCAACTGGATTGTGACGCCGTGTAGTTTGGAGACAGCCAGACGTTTCGGAGGAGCATATCGCTTACATCTTCAGCGTCGAAGAGTACAGATGGAGGCAGCAGGTTCCTCCGAAACGTTGTGACATATCTACTGGGCTACAGGCGTCACATACCACATGACAGCATTGTACATAATTACTTAGATCATAAAAACAGAAATAGCATAGTCGGCAGATCTGTCTTCTCAAACACCCTGCGTCCCCCCGTTGCCGAGAGACGACGCTTGGCGCGGATGTTCCATGTGAGCTTAAGGAAAAGCGGATTATATGAAGCCAGCTTTCTCTGCTTTCAACATACTATTGTTACCATTTTGAGAGCAACTGGCCGTGTTTCTCCGAAACGTCAGGTTATCTCCGCACTAAGCGGGAGGTGCAACTTCATGGCAGTATTTTTCTTTTGACAGCCACCGAACGGGTGACGCCGTGTCATACCCCACAAGACCACAACCGAGATCAAGACGGGGTGCAGGGCGACAAACATGGTGAACACTGGCTGAACACGGGCAGGCCTATGCAGGACGCTACGTCACAACTCTCTCTCTCTCTCTCTACAAAGTATTTTTGAAGTACCTTTCGCTATGATTAAATATCTAGCGAAATCCGAACAAATTACAATCGAGACACGCACTGAAAGGCATGGCGTCAACTGGGTCCATTGGTTTTCATACCTTAATCAAAACTGGTATTCGTAGACAATGCTAGACAACGTAGGAACAGCAAAATTTAGTGAAAATCGGTTCAGCGGCTCTCGAATGATTCCGTGGGGACAGACGGACAGGCATTATCTCCGAACCATTGGCAATTTTCTAAGGCGCACACCGGTCCGCGAATTACATGTGACTTTCAAAATTTCATACGTATATGACTATATAACAAAACTGTGCAGGCAGCAAGCGGAAGCCATACAAAATCATGTTGACGAAAATGTTCGCAATATTGCGCAAGGAGAAGCCCGACATAGAAAGTACAAGAAGCTTAAACTTGGCGGCGGTCAGGCATACGACCGTTCAAGTGACTAGACTGCCGTTGTAGCAGGAGCTACTAGAAATAGGGCATAATCTGCTGTACTGAACCTGGACTGACAGAGGCCCTGCATATGTTTTATATTCAGTTATTAGCATGTTTAACATGTAAAATGTAAATATCCTTTATATTGTGACAAATGACTCTGACAAAAGACAGACCCGTCCTCTCGTCAGAGAGGGTGCCCCACAAAGCAAGACAGAATCTGTCAAACAGTAATAAATATCTGGTCATAAGCCCCAGATTGGGCTCGACACCAAGAGTGACTGACTGACTGACCGTCAGTCGCAATGTGTCTTGGACTTTGATATTACGGGAATTCTGAGGCGGCAGTTAGAACAGTAGGAGGCTGGTGTGAGATGGCCGCCAGCCTGCGAGGACGTGAATCCGGAAGCAGAGGAACGTCCACTGTTGGAAGCCGCTACCAAGCAGCGCAGTGAAGACCCGTGACTGAGAAGACTATCCTGTGTTATAGTGACCTGTAAAGTGTAGTCACGTGTTGTGTGTTAAAGTGCCCAATTAATATGATTACCAATTCAAACTCCGTCTATAGTGACTCCATCACGTGACAATATTAGTTGGGGAAGAAGAGAGAGATCATCATTTTGTTGGAAGGTTCGCAGGCTCCGCCAGCTGAAAGTGCAGACGTTGTGATGGTTGGAAGCAGCGACTTGAGACAGGGGCGCGGGATTTGGGTTTTCTGAATTAAAGGTGAACTGCAAATCCTGAAGGATAATTTGATGGCCCGAGGGGTTTAATTTCGATGAACTGAAATCGGGAGGGGGGGCCTGCAGTAGCAACTAGGAACTTGGGAACCGTTCGGAACTTGCCTGGACACAGAGGAAAACCATGAAAACCTGTGTAACGATGGAAGACCGCAGAAACTTCTGGATGCATACTGACATTCAGCGAGAAGTCTGGCAAAGTTCCTTAACGTTTTCCCAATGCGTGTGTTGTGGCTTTGCTGACGAACTGCATCAGAATACATTCATACAGACAGTAATTGCAAACATAATGTCCCACCTCACAGCAAACTCTGGGTGACCCTTCCAAAGGCCTGCCGGTTAATACTGTTCAGGGAAATAATCAGTTATTTACTGTGAGAATCGTGCACACAGATTCACTCTGAGTTTCTGTACGTAAAGCAGGCGACATGTACAGCAACCACTGCGCTTCAAAGGACTAGCGGCTGACAGCCCCAGTCGGTTCCAAAACTCAAATTTAGCATTCAACTGCAGCCCGAGGTATCGCATTTACAAGCGCGACAGGGCGACAAGCTCTCGCGCAAACATACACGCACACGCACACACTGTGCGTGACCTGTGCAAATCACGGAAGCAGAAGGCGAGTGGTATCAGCAGAAAAAACGCCCTTTAATCTCTTTTCGTTTGAAAACACGGCCCTAAAATGGTTAAATACTGCGGCATGTAGACCCGTTGCTAGGCAACGGCTGCGAAATAAACAACTACTCAACGGCCCGTATATTTAGGTGACGAAAAGGTAGCTCAGTGCCTGGGGGTATAACTGGGCCACCCTGTTCTTGGGGGATATAAATACGAGGGCCTGGCCCTCCAGGTGGGGGAGACTCGAATCTGAGACAGTAAAATATCGAATGAGCCCCGCAGGACTCGGACCCGAAAAAGACTGCGTTGGCGAGGACCATCAGTAATTGTAAACGACAGACCCGTCCTCTCGGTAGAGGGTGCTCCACGTCAAAAAGACCGCAACTGTGACAGTAATAAAATCTGGTATTGGGCCCCAGATGGGTACTTGACATCAAGAGCGTCGGTCTGTTAGAGGACTGCTGGCGTTCAGTCGTTGTGAGCTGTTGCTCTTAAAAGTTGGTAGCTGAGGCACGGGGATCGTCCGCCGTTGGAAGCCACTACCGAGCAACGGCAGTGAAGACGTGAGTGTGCGTGTAATAGTGAACTGTAAAGTGCAGTCAGTCACGCGCTGTATTGAGAAGTGCAATGAATCCGAATACCAACGCAAACCCCGTCTACAGTCACTGCACACTCCGTGGCAATATTCTGACGTCATCACGTACTTCAGTGTAGGCTTGGCAATTGTTTGAAGATGTCACGAAAGAGAGGAGTGAGGCGCCCCGCACACCACAGACACTCCTGACACACCTCGCGTCTGCTTTTGTTACGACTCAGAACTCAACACAAACACATGTTTCCGCGCCCCCACCCTCATCTCTCCCTCACGAGCCCCCCCCCCGGCCTGAACTGAAAATCAG